TTCCAATTTGCCATACTCTGTGGTTAAAAATAAAATATATATTAGTAGTGATGTGATTACATCATGGCTACCCTAAGAATATAACGCTGGCGGCAGATGTATTGAATTATAAGGATATTTAGCTGATGCATGTTCATGGACGAAGACAGGGTATAGAGATGTCAGGTGGACCACCCACGAACACTACGCCATCGATAGGATAATATTATACTTAATGTCTACTCAGCAAAAAATGGTGAAGACAGAGCGAAGCTTATTAAGCTTTTAAGTTAAAATTGTAGTAATGAGTACTTTTCACTATTATTTATTAATTATCTTATTGTAGAGTGTAGTTTCATTCAGACCCAATATTTTATGCCTAAGCAACAACGAATTTAATTGTCTTTATTTATGAAGAATGCCTATAATTTTTATGTTGCCATGTTTGTAAAACCTCTATTTGTTTGAGCTAATCAATACATAACATAACAACAATATATTAGTATTGTGGCTGATTTGACATTTCTTTGATTTGATTTTTATTCTGTGGCACATTTAAAGGACACTCCACAGACTTTTTATATACATTTGCCGAAGTTGAAGGTCTGTGGCGCTATAACAAAGTCACTCGTAAAGATCGTAAACCGCGAGTAACTTAATTCAATTGTTATATAATGTTGAGGAACAAATTGTTTGATAATGTTTATCGTATCTCTAAGACGGTAATTCATCCAATTAGGTGGTTCGCTCGCGGCGGACCACCCACGACGCGCGGCTATTAAGGTCAAATTATAAATTATTTACCTTTATTTTGGGCCACGGGCTGCGTCGTCGGCTTTTATTTCTATTCGGAAGCTACAGATTTGCAAACTTGATAATAATACGGTGTACGCACTGTGCTTTCAACGACTCCAATTGAAAGTTTGAATCTTTCCACACACCGATATTTTATTTTAAAAAGTCCATGAAATAAACAGGAATCAAACCATCATGTGTCTACCCAATGAGTTACCGTAAGGTTTATCATAAATGTTGTTTTAATTAAACATAATTTCGTTTAAATAAAAACTTTTTATGTATTAAAACGCGAAGTATATTAGTAGACTTTTTTTTTAATTTAACGAAACTACGGCCCGTACGTTTTATAAGCTTTGCAGCAACCGTAGTCACGTTCTGCGTTATAACCGTTAAGTGTTTTATTTAAATGAGCTACTTGTGTAAACTACGAAAATAAATTATTTCGTTTAATTTTATAGTTATAAAGGTAATTGATACGGTATAAATTAATTATTATTCACATTGTTGATATATTTTTTATGTTCTTATTAATAAGACAAGTGCAGAGAGAAATTTCAGCATTTTAAAATTTGCTTTATGCCTATAAAAATAACATTGTACTTATAAACAAGACTGGCCTTTCTGCTTTTTAATACGCAAACTCTGTCTTTATTTACTGTTAGAAGAATTTATTGCGTTCAACATAAATATTTAACGAGCTTTCTTCGTGCTTTGCAATTGTATTAAGCCCTACCAAATGAGACTGCCCTCTAATGATTCTTACATTGAAAAACCTCTTGACGTTTTAAGATTCAAATTTAAAAAACTATCTAGCTCAATAGTCAAATATGTTAGATTACGTTTTTGATGTTTTAACATTACAATATTTAAAATTTGTATCACTTAACACTGGTTCTTATCTACGTTGGTCGCGAAAACTGACAGTTTAATTAAATATCGGACAATTAATGAAAAATAGGTATTATTGATAGTTATATGTAACAACAGCTTTAAATAGAACGTAGTCTAAATTGCGCAATATACTAATTAGATAACTTATGTTAAATACGCCGCTTCGGATGTTTTGGAGCTGTCATGGCCACGGGGGTACTGAAAATAGTGGTTGTCCCTAATGTCGAAGTCAAATCTGCTACGTCACTCATCTGTTTGTTACAAGTGGTTTATGTGTTTTGTGTGTGTGTTCTATTGGCGAAACTATTTATGTTCCATAGTGTAAAAATACAGTTATAGCACATTTTTGTCTTTATTCTAAGTAATCTCTCATCACTGCCTTTTCAGACCGATAGTCTGATAATGTCATTATTGTTTTCTTAGTACCCTTAGTTGAGGCATCTATATTCTAGACAATGACCAATCAGCGACAGAGGGGGTATACAATAAAGGGGTTATTAAAATTTCCAATTTCGTATGCAATGCCTAAAGCTTGTTCAATTAATTGAAAGGCTTGATGTTGCAAGAACTGTCAGTACGAAATGTCACCAGTGTTTTTTATGGTGCTCGTAAAACAAAATGTGTGTCGAGTGGCGCCTTAGAATAAGACTATCAATTACATGTATGCAAAGAGAATATCAATGCAGGAGACTCGCCATTTTAATTATTAATTTATTACTTGAGAGAGGCAAAAAGAAAGGGAGGGGAACGGTCATTAATGTTTTTAAATTTAAATAAGACACTTTAACTTTAAAAATGATTTAAACGTCGGGCCGAAGATAAAAATCATTTTACATTTTTTCAAATAACCGTTTAAAACCATTAAAGTTTTTTATTTAAATGTGTACTACTCGCGGAAACTATAGACAGTATTTAATCAATCAATGTTTTTTTTTGCCAAAGAAAAAATGTTTTCACATAACGGTAACTATAGTAAGATTATGAAGCTAAAGACTTTGTTTGAATGCGAATCTCAGGAACTATAGGTTCTAATTAAAGAAATTTGTATGTGCTGGTTGGACAATTTATCAAGAAAGACTTGAGGTTAGGTAAAACATCGAGCTGTGATCAAAAGGCGCAAGGAAAAAGAGGGAATAATGGTTAAAACTTGGTCTTTGGGGGTTCCGTTGACTTCGCTGCCAAAACGGTCCAGGAAACCAAAAATTCTACATAATAGAAGGTTGTTTGCGAAAACAAATAATATGATATTTCACGCGGACGAAGCTTCAGGCCCAGTTAGTGTCCGATATGTCCAGCTAAGAAAGTAACTTCATTTATTTTTACAAAAGCGACTAGAAGCTCCACTCTTCAAGATGATTATTTTCGTACAAAAAAGATATCTAAGCTGAAAACTAAGTGACCTCACCATAAGCTGTAAAACATCTGAAATGTCGGGTCGTTGTGAGAACAAGTGATAATATACTTCGCATTTTAATGAATTCTGTTTTTAAACTACGTCCATATTGTATGGTTGCCCGTTGCTGTATGATAGAAAGTGGATCTGCCTACTTTATTGTATAATCTTCGCTCTTTATTGCTATAATTGAATCGTTAAATACTGCGATCTCAATTTCGTGTCCCACGCGATATTCCTAGAAGACGTTTAGAAAGACGTCCCGCGGCGTTTTCGCCCGAAGTGTCAAAACGTCCGAGGGAAACCACCCTGAAGACACCATAAACAAAATTCTTTTTGTCCATAGAGTCACGGGAAAACAGCTTTTATTCCCACAGCACAGGAGACATGAGTTACACCCGATGTTGCTAGTTCTGGTTTTCGCGTTACCTAATATCAGGGGGTAGATCTCAACGATGCATTCCTATCTTGAGTCAAAATTCAATAGTTTCGTTTACACCTTCAGGAGTTCTCGGAAGGTTTATCTGGAGCTGCATTGTAGTCAGGTGTCGTTTGAGGTAATTTAATTGCATGTTCTTTTGAAGCGATCACTTTGTGGTTCTTAATTGAATAATCATAAGATTTACTGCTGTAAGCCGAATAGCAACGCAGAATTTCTAGTAAATTATAGCTAAGCCAGCATAGGCCGGCAGTGCAAATGGAATAGATCTTATACGGCTTAGACCTTTTATCTTCCATCAAATGAACCTCGAGATTCTCTGTTCTCTAAGCGTTATAAATAGTCATACTTTATTGATCATTTGTGCAGCAGTTTTATTTTTTATTTTGGTACATTCTGTACTGTTTGTAAATTTTAAAATAGTTTGTAGTTATTGTAGAAGACCGAAGATAATAATCGAAGCAGTTGTGGTAAATTCTTGATTGGTGCCGTTTGCCGTCGAGGCCCGTGGATGCAGCGGCACTCGCCGGCACGCCCGCTAAATAAATTCATTAGTTAAATCACCGTCGGCGGCGTTTTGTCGGCAACATCAAAGGGCAAGTCTACCGCCCTGCCGTGGGCGCGTTCGCTCGAGTTTTTACTCAGGAAACTCTGTAAACAAAATGATATGGTGCCTTCGAATGTTTAATTCACATTTATTATCTGTACACAGAGAGATTATTTGTTTAAACGTCCTTTCTTTAAAATTGACCATGAAACAATTTTGTTTTGGGGTGATCCATCGAGCAACAGCTGCTTAAGGTTCAAATTTATGTTAAAGTTGAGATTACATGCAACATATATCCGTCTAAGACTTAAAAATCCTTGTGATTGCACAAATATTCAAATTAACCTGGTAATCTATACCAAATAATATATTCCCTCTTCTTTATGTGAATAAGGAGTGTTCTGATTATTATTTGTACCTATTCACTATTATAAAAAGAACGGACATTTATAGTTATTTATAAAATGTCCGTATTCTGTAAAGTTACAACAGTTTGTGACACTACTGCATGCTTGCATTCTGCAACTGCAAGCATTACGATCAGTTTCATTGAATGGTTTTATTTTATCTTTAAATCATGCCGTCTCACAATAGAAGCGAGAAAGAAAGATAACTTGTGTGGTCTTTTGACTGGATTCTCGACTTTATTCGTATACGTTCGGCTAACTTCGTTCGCCTGAGCGGCAACAATAATGGCGGCTCAACAAACATTCGACTTCGTTTCTGATTCAGTGTTGCTCGGATCGCGCCAAACACGACGCGTACTGGTGGCGCTCCAACATAATAAAAATTGTATCGGTCCGCGTCCAGTTTCGTTAGTGATAAACAGAAGTGCAGAATTCAGGTGTAATCGTGTGTGGTTATGTGGCGGCGAGTGATATGACATCTTGCGCCGCCAGACGGACTCCGGCCGTCTTCATGAGGATACTGGTGACAAGTTTGGCCCCGAGATCATGGTGGCTCCCGATTCCGAGGCTACTTCGAATCCTCGGATAACGGCTGCACACGAAAGTCCCTCTGCCGCCGAGGCGCGTCACAGCGCTGATTTGTACATACGTACCAGCTGGGTTGACGCAGCTTTAGCCCTCTCTGAACTTGAAAAGGTGTTGTGATCACGCTTTTATATTTCAAAAGTTAACGTTAATTATTCAGTTATCATTACACGTGTGATTGTTTTTCCGCAAGTGTCACTCGCACTTAGCGCGACAGTGTGGGGTTGTGGCGCCGACTAGTGGTAGGCTCGCGTACTATCAAGGACGTGCGTATTTTGAGGTCCAACGGCGTATTTTTTTTATTGATAATTGGCATTTTTTGTTGGAAAGCGAGACAAATTAACCGTAAAATTTTAAATATATAATTCTAGAAAATATTGCGTATTCTATCGGTATTTTTGTAAATCACAGTTTTAAAATGTACCTAAAGACTAATAGAGGTAAAATATAATTTACATTAAAATAAAACCTAAACGATTTTTGAAACTATTAAAAACAATGCAATGTAAAATTTTCAATTGCAGCGCACTGTGTGCAAGTTTGTACATTATTCAAGCCCACTTCGAAGAAGGTAGCGCTTTCCTAGAAGGCCACACGCGCCTTCGCCCTTTTCTCGCTTCGCGAAAATTGTTCTTTTGTAACCTTATTACCCAGTTTAGAAAACAGTATATTAAAGAAGACCTATGTCGTTTTCTTTACGCGGAAAGATTTAATTATTTTTTATAATTATTAAACTACATATTAAGGAAATAATTTAATTATTCTATTAAAGCTTGGATATTATTTTATCCTAAATGTTTCTTAAAAACTGTTCTCAAAAACTTTTTGTTACTTAAATAATTTCAGCTTTATCTTAGAAACTCCTATGAAACGTATTTTTCAAAATAATCCTTTTTCCGTGGTCGGATAAATAAGAAATAAAACGTATCTCAACATCACTATAACGTAAATGCTCCGAGATGAAGTAATTAAGACGGTGCGCACGCGCATCCAGCGGTGTTCGCCGTTAATAGAGACATCAACTGTAAAAACACGCAAGTCTCTAGACGGGAATAAAATATCGTGAAGATAAAATTATCGGTTGGAATAATTTTGGGAAACTTGCTAGGTATGTTAGTTTAAGAGTCTCGAAAGTTTGTATTGACGAGTTTGGTAACGTTATCTCAATGGTTATAGTCGTTTGCACCCACGAGTCGATATGGTCGTAGCCAATAATTGTTTTTTTAATAAAATTATGATTCTTATCGCCATAGAGTTTTAGTTTGGTAGTTTTGGTTAACTAGGTTAAGTTTTAAGTATTGAAAACTAGCTGTGCCCGCCCGACTTCGTTCGCTGGAAAAGTGACTTGGGATAGAATTTTTAATTATTTAGGCTGTTTATTAATTTACGTAATTGCGTATTTATCGCAGCTAATCTATGTTGTAAGTGCTAGTTTGCCGCAACACTCTCACATCACTCCTACTCTAACTTCCACTCCCACTCATATTCTTAAAAAAGCCAAAGAAGAAAGTTTCAATGTTCTATCTTAAAAACCCACGAATTTACATACAAAATTTCACCCCCCCCCTTTACCCTTTCAACCCCCTTTTCGCAATAAAAAATTAGCCTATGTTCTTTCTCAGGGTCTAGACTATATGTGTACCAAATTTCAAAATTTCAATAGTTTTGGCGTGAAAGAGTAAAGACAGACAGACAGGCAAGTTACCTTCGCATTTATAATATTAGTAAGGATAAACAACAAAATCTATAATTAGATATTGGGATTTAAATGTCAATTTCTCTAATAGAAATAGGTTTCATCTAACACGTCCATGTTTATTAGTCTCAAATACGATTGTTTATCAATTAAAATAAAAGAATACTCTTAAAAAAAGTTTTTATAGCATAATCTGGCAGGGACCGCACAACGATAGCCGGGTAGAAATTGAGACATCTTGTGGTTTCCTATCACGCGTCCCGTTCTGGCACGTGCAGATGGGCATCTCTCCTTTTCTCTTGAGTTTATTTTCTATCCCTTTCCGATACGGTATTCCCACAAATGCTGCATCTTCTTCCAAACACCGCGATCTTGGGTGACCGGCAGCTGCTCGGAGAATGGATAACAGCTATGTGTTGTGCCGTGGCTCACGACATTTTAAAAATGTGGACTAAACTTGAGATGAAAACAACGATCTTTTACTTGAGGAGTTTAAATACAAGAATCTTGACAATTGACACCATAGTTAAGTTACTCATTCCAAAATACAGACTATCCTAATTATACAATATATTTTACAGAATATATACGATTATGTCCTTCTTTATAATAAGCACAGATATTAATTACAAAGGTAATTAGCGTTGCAGTATTATTGTTAGACATCATTTTTATCGGTGTTAGCTGTAAAGACATATCAGATTACCTTTTACTCCTTGAATAATTAAGCCGTTAACCGCAACACGTGGCACGACGTACTCAGATCAACGCACATTGTCATTTTTCCCCTTCATTGCCTTTTGCTTCCGTTCCACTGATTTACCATATGACGGCGTAAGCTTAAGAAGCTATTATGAAAATAAACTAAGCCAAATAAAACCTAATTGTTTCGTATTATGTCCTGTGCCTCTACGAAAAACATATAAGTATTAATTCTGAATTAAAATTTATATCAGTACCATAGCGTGCATTTTTCTCTTTATTTATTATCTATGCTTTAACAGATCTTTAAAAGTCTTTGCCTTCTTAAGTAATATTAATGTAAAAAAAATATCACATAATAACTAACGTTTTATGCACATACATACGTATTGATTATTATGCATTAATAATGTAATAGATTGTACTTGATTGTAATATATAACTGGAATTTATAAATAAAAATAAGAAAAATATTACTTTAGCATGATAATAAAGCCATTCACTTGATAGCTGTTCAATTTAATCGTAAATAATATGATTACTAAAAATATGTCTATATAGATATCACATTTAAATAAAAACTTTAACGGTTTAAAACATATATTATTAAACTTTGCAGCAGCCTGACCACGGCTGCTGCAAAGCATCCGAAACGTCGGGCGAAGTTAAAAATATTTTCAAATAAGTTTAACTAATATATCGCGTTTTAAACCGTTAAAGTGTTTTATTTAATACTTGAATTTACATATGGTTATTACATATGGTAAGTTATTTAACATATTCATAGGCAAAGTAAACATATTTCCTAATGTAATGTGTGAGAGGGATTAGAGTTTTGTCCTGGGAAATTGTACACCGTAAAACTTGGTTTGTAATAAAAAGTGTTTTAGTTGGTACGTTTCTTATATTTTGTATTGTAGTAATTACAATTAGTTTTTTTCTTCATCACTGCTTACTGCTTTGGTGGAAATAACTTTTCTACATATCAAAAGCTTAGCCTATACGCTACCTAATTATTACGTAAAATTGTAAATGTACGCAGGCGGCCTATTATAGTTTTGTAGATACTATATTTAAAAATACAACATTACTGTTGTATGAACAGTAATCGAACAGATAATTACAATGAGCACGACCTCCGATAAGAAACATGTGATGTCGCCGTCCGGTAGCGTAGATGTTTTCTAAAATTATCCCGCTATTTCCTGCGTGATAATGCTGTTTATCGTGTAACTAAGTCTGCTTTGCGGTGTTACCTGTTTAAAAAATTATTAAATAGTAGGTTTTGTCGAAAGTGGTCCAGCCTTAGTCATATAGACCCAGCACACGATCTACATCCTCCCTCGTGCTTTTTTGAGATTATAATTAAGTGTTTATTTTTTTACGAAAGGAATACCTCCCCAATAAGTTAAGGGACATTTCTTATCGTGACTCCGCATTGATAATTTCTACATAATCTACTCAGTAGATTATTTCAAAAACGATTTATCAGCATCAATGTTACGTCGACTGGTTTAGAATTACCCCCCAGATCGATAGTATTTGATATCATCGGAGCAAACAAATGTTTCTGCTAAATAACTTTAGTATAGATAATGTTCCTTTGAATGTTTTCTGCTTTCCTATCATAAATATTAATCTTCAGATCGAGAACAATCACCGGAAACCCTGTGTTGTTAATCAAGGGTGGGTTTAGCTTGTAGTTTATTCTGGCCGTGTCTTAATACCTTGGTTATCTCGGGCGCCGCCTTTCGTGAGAACATAGCTATTGCCCGTTTATTGTTATCAGCAGGAAATGCTCCGGGGCAGATCCTGAACTAATCTTACGCTACTTGCGTCACTTTTTCGTCACTGAACATCCGCAATGACATGTTTTGACGTAGCTTGCTCGTTAATATTCGAAATAAATACATTTATGATTAAAATAATAATTGTATACTAAGTAATAATATATTGATCAATTGTGAACGTAATATGCCAATTTGCCATTGAATTTCAAAAAAAGAGTGATTTGGAATATTAAAGAAGAGTCTGGTACATACTTAAATAACCCTTTAACTGTTTAAAACCCGAACATATAGTAAAAAAATATTAACAACTTCAATTTTAAACTCGTCGTTGTAAAAGTAGCAAAGTATTTAAAAGCCTTCGCCTTTTAATCTATTTTAATTTAAAGTGTTTAAAATGGTTTATTTTTTTATATAAATATTTGATAATCCATCTTCCTACCAATTTTCTTGTTATGTACCGAAACTATACATACACTTTGCAAACTATGCTAAAACATGTTGCTTTTATCCTCGTTTGGTATGTGCATGAATGGAGGTCCACGAGTTGGTGCCTCGGTATTATCGTAGTCTCCACGTGAGTTGTGGTGCGCGGGCGGCGCGGGCGCATTCCGGCCGTGACGTCACGCCCACCCAGAGAGCCTTCACGAACCAGAATCGCTTTATGCCTTTGAGCCAACATTGTCCGAAGAATTCAGAAGTTTCTGTTACTCAGAATAGACGGGCGAATTAATTCACAGTGAAAAACACCTACAACCCGTCCATATTAAAAAGCCGTTACGCATCGTAATAAGTTCAGTTATGTGTATTATTCGGTAGTCGACATAACAACGGTCATACGTAAATAAGGGCATCGTACGAACTCGCAGCGATTGTTGTACCCGAACGACCTCCAATGTGATTATTTTGTAATCAAGGAATCAAATAATTCCGTTTACACACGCATACACACATTTACAAGTGTCTAATTATACTTTTAAGCTTGAATGTTACCGACTATACGTCTTATTTAGGTTTTCTAATACACACACACAGTAACTGGGGCGACTAGGTAGACTATTGTATATTTTAAATACTACATAATTAATGTACGACTATAATAATTCCGCGGGTAATAAAAATTAGAAAATCTTTAAAAAAAATTGTATGACTTTTGCAGTCACTGTGTAATGTTACTTGCTTTTCATAAAATAATTATTAAAAGACGACACGTTTGAACGATCTTCGTTACTCGTGTAAGTATTTATGTATTACATTTAAGTTATTAATCATAAAAATCATATAATGCCAAAATTTCTCTCGCTCTTAAAATATCTGGGAAAGCATACTATATGTCGATTAATTTGATACTATGGTATGCTACTATAGTAGATAATATGGACTAAAATTCAAATATAAACTCTGCCTGCGGCTTCACTAGCCATTCTAAGTACTGGCGACGAAACCATACTTTTTATACCGCGCATGCAAACTGCTATTATGCATAATACTTTCCTATCGTTTCTCTCGGCACCATTTAATCTAATAAACGATGTCTATATGTAATTTCCCTTAGTATCGTGATCTAAGGAACTCCATGGCGCCAGGGGCTCGCCGGCGCGCCGCGGCCCGCCTGTGCCTCTCATTAATCACAATCAACTCGGAAATTATTTCGACGTTTAAAACCACTCGGCTACAGCTTATCGCATACTTGCGAAGCTTTAACGTTTTGCTGCTGTCGATGGACTCCTATAGAACCTTATGTCGAATAGTTTATTGTCATTCAAATTTGGAATGGATCGTTTAAAACGGTCACGTGCTTGTTGTTCGGTTTTTAAATTTCGAACTAATTACTTTTTAATCTTTTTTTACCAAATACCTATTTAATACCAAAGTGTTTTCGCTGCAATTATTTAATTTATTAACTGCTTTTTATTATATATTTTTTGGGCATTAAACCATAATAATGTAGAAGCCTATTTCCTTTTTTGTACCTTTAATTTTATTATTTCGGTATTTTGTTTCAATGTGTCTGTGTCTATAACATTTTCTTCTTCTTTCAGGGCAATATAGAAGGAGGGAGATCCTCGCTGTGGATTCGGGCTTGGTTGCAGGAGCAACTCTTTATTTTGGGGTGCTTCCTTCAAGGCGACGCGGGGAAAGTGCTTTTCGTGGCTATATTAGTCCTATCTACGTTCTGTGTCGGCCTGAAGTCCGCACAAATACACACAAGGGTCGATCAACTCTGGGTTCAAGGTATGCCAAAATTAGTTTTACTATGCAGTCTTGCCATTTGTCATAAGATACAAGCTACGTCATTCTCGTGACTACCCAAATTTTAACAGTACTAATTATTTGTAATCAATATGTATGAAAAATAAAACAATCCTACGCATTCCAAGATTTCAACAAACACATTCATTTAATTTACCTATTATCGAGTCAGTAAATAAGGCTTACATTGAAGACATTTTAAAGCGTCGTCTGTATTTGTTTTTCATTATTGTACAATGCATTACCTATTACAAACGGTTTTTCGTAAGTTACAATCTATCTATCTATCTTACAGCTAACTTATAAATTAAAAAAAAAAACGAATATAACATAAGCAGACGCTCGTATATGTTTAGAATGGCTTCTAGGTTAAAATCAACTCAACAACAGTTCAAAAACCAACAGTTGCAGCACCGTTCACTATCGTGTGCTTACAATCTGAAAGTCGTAAAAGTAAATCACGATACTGTGGCACATTGTGCATCGTCGAATACCAATGCACCGGTGACAAGCGAGCTTATACATCGCCGCTTCCGTCTCGTGTGAACGTGTTTCGAATGCATTCGGGACTACACAACGCGCCGCATAACCTCCTCTCCCCCCTCCTATACGTTGAACATGGCGAATTAATAGTCCATCCATCAAATTGTCCTCTAAACGTTTGTCCGTCCATTTGTTTCCGAATATCCAAAGTCAAAATAGCGCGTCTTGCTAAGATGTTATATGGCTGTGGTGTTTCACATCCTTTATTAAGTGAACCCCCCCCCCATGTTCGCCTGGCCTGATCTACATAAAAAAAATGCGCTTATTTGTCTCAACCCAGTTTTTACCGTAATAACAAGAGAAGACTTGAAAGCTAAATCTACTTTACGTCTAATTAAAAAACGAAGCCCCGTTTTCCCTCGTTGAACATGGGGCGATCACATTTCTTTCTCCGTTTAATTGATTGGTTTTATTTTAAGGCGAGATGATCAGACGCTCTGTGCCTTTGCCCGACCGTAATCCTCTTGTGTTTCTCCGGAATTCGAATCCGGAGAATGATTCGAATGATCTCTTGCGCTTAACGCAATGCTAGGAAACACGTTAACCATTTAGCTAATGGCTAGCCTACGTGAAATTAAAATTAAACCATAAAACAATTAGTCTGAAGCAAGCACCTCTGCTTTGCAAATTGAGATTTTGAAATGGTTTAAATATTATATATATTACGGAAATAATAGATTATTCTGTAGGTACATAGTTACTTCTTATATACTTAATTTAACATAAATAATCAAAAAGAATAATTTTCTAATTAATACGCACTAATATTTCTATTAAAATTCATTTAAATTAATTATTCATTCACGAAAGTGTGTATTGTGTGGTCACTTGAATTTATAAATTGTCCATACGAACATCGCTTGATGAATGCTAGTCGGAACTCCTTTGATGTTCTTCATACAGGATGTGAAGGAAGTGTTGACGGCAGTAAAAGCCTCTATTTAAAAACAATACTTGCCGCCAATGTTAATAGAATTTTTATTATAACGTAGCGTAACAAAGTAACGTAATTAAATTAAGAATGCGCGTAACGTTATCATCGTTTGGGAAGTCTTAAGTATCCTTATGTCAATTATGAAAGTGTTATTAGTGTGTCGTGTGGAATAAACGCAGGGTCATGAATTCGAAGCTTAGTTGTGCAATTAGAAATTGTCATGTTTTTACCATGCATTTATTAATTCTAAAAAAGAAAAACATTAGGCGCCGTATTTCTCGTTTTTTTTTTGATTTACATTACCTTATGGTTTATAATATGTATTTAAACAATAAGTTTTAATGCACATAAGATTGAACTCACTACCAAAAGAAAGCTAAAACAATTGTTAAAGTAATAATTCGTAACTAGCTTTGCCAGAGCACAAATCGAACAATCGATTTAATACCATCATTTCATGTCTCAAAAAATCTACCATTTTATTTCTCCCATAACATTTTATTGGTAATTTATTGCAACGCCTGCGAAACGCGCGCTGTGCGGTCTATTGTCAACTCGTAAAATAAAAGATATTACGACTAGTTCCACTGAGACCAGTAGTCCGTGGCTAATTTGGTAATATTATGTAAATTGCTGAGCGTAAATCAATGTGGTAATTGTAAATACATACCATTTCATTTTCTATGGCAAGGCCCACATTTTAAACTTAATTAAATGACTTATGTACATATAATGAAATCCCTTATGTACCTTACTCGAATATTTAAAAGGTTTACTAATAAAAAACACTCTAATCTATTGAAATAAATCTGTGTTAACCGCAATCGATGAATTTCTCTTCATTATTTATTCGTAATAATCATACTGTATGCCCATAGACGAAGGATCTATTTTCATACATTATGTTTACAAATGTTTCCGGAAACTAACTAAGAGAGGATGTGCATCCTATGCGGGTAACTCTGCTCAAAAAACCGGTCGAGAGAAAGTAAATTCTCGCTTATCAAACGACCCGTATTCTGGAACAATTTTTTCCTACAAATGTTGTACAATGTTGTAGACAGTTTCTTGTTAATTTTTAAGCTCATTCTTTTGTATTCGTTACCTAAGGATGTGTTACTTGATATTTCATTGTTTTAATATTATAATAACTAATGAAAATTGAATTATTATTTAAATAAATGCAATGAGGCGTAATGCAATGAATAAATCTTATACCAACGAAAAAGGAAGTCCTCGCATTATACGTGCACCTGCCTTCAACTTCCAACATATCATAAATAATTGACAGTACGTGAAAATAAAGAAAATCTTAAGCGAATTGTTTGGTATCTCAGAAACATCATTTTATTATAAGAGTCTGAAGTATCTATTAATAAAACAGTAGTAAATATATAAAAACTTCATTTATTAATCACTGGCTGTAAAGTTACTTTAACAACTTATAGCTTTATCCAATTCACCTCGTTCTTTAAATCGGCTCATTTAAATAATTAGATCGATAAAATGACTACCCTTCCTTTCGGCTGCACGGTAGTCGAGCAGAAGGACTTTAAAACGATGAATTCATAAAATTCCCGGCTACCGGCCAACCGAATCCGATATTCAAAGCTAACGGCATCGCACAATCAAACAAGCCTCTATTAAACAATGCCGGCCTAAGTCACCTAACAACTTAATTAGGTGGCCCGCGGCCGCCCGTAAATATCCCCGAGTAGAATTACGAGCGATAAAAGTAAAAAAATGTAAAACATCTATTGAGTAACAAAAAAGAAGGTGGTTTGATTGTCCGGTTCGCTTTGTACAAAGACGTCGTGCTGGGCACCGAGCGGCCCAGCGTCCACATTCATTCCGTGGGCCTCTTCAAAATTGAGATGTCTTCCCTCGGCGACGGAGTAAAAACCGTGACAGGGGTCATTGTGGACTGGTCCCCATTGTGACCGCTGTGTTTTCAACTTTATAGCTATTTTAAAATTTTAGTACCTGAACAACCATATTGGTTCGGAGTTTAGTGCTATACTTGAATTTGTCAGTACTTAAATTCTTATTTCGATTTAAGTAAGTACTTGATTGCGTGTTCCAAGCTGTCCTTTCGCTTTTATGTAACATTTTGGTAAGTTGCATTACTCTGCTACGCTTTTAAGCTTAGTATAATAGATTATGATAATAATCACCGACAAGAGGGTTTTGAACTAAGCTAGTCTATTCGATCTGCTCGCAATGTTTATGCGGCTGCCAGCAAAGGACTCGGCTGTTGATTCCGCCATCCATCTGTTGTCTACGCGAGCTAATTTGCATAGAGGGCCCGGCGGGGGTGTGCGGCGCGGGGGAGACCACACGGGCTCCTACAGAGCACGCGGGTGGTCACAACCACATGCGCGCGCGCGTATCCCCCCCGCGCCCCGCCCGACGTTGAGACGTCATTCATTGCGATCGTCCGCACTGATCACTGGCTACCGCGCCGTGTAGAAATGTTGTCATTATCTGCGCACGAGAGAACGCCACAAGTCAAACATTTGCCCAACAAAATACACTTTGCCCAGACAAAATCACTTTCAAGAGACCTTACCTGCATAGACATTTTCAAATCAGTTTATGAAGAGGGGAGTTGTAATTTACGCACGAAAATGTCTCAAAATAATCTGGGCTATATAAAAGTCTCAAGGGAAAGCATAGGAAAAACAACCTTGGAACCATCGGGTAATATGTCTAACACGAATCTGATGATCCTATTATTACCGGTCATCCGGAATAAAAGGGACGCTTTTCTTAAGGTGGCGAACCATAAAACGAGAACCTTCTTTTTTAATTATAAGCCACAATTTAAACTTTTTTAAATGCAAGTGGCGTCTTGAGTAGGGATTTTTTTAAACATGTATCATTTAATTTTAACACTAGCTTACAATACGTTTCCAGTTTTTAAATCATTTTTTAAATTGAGCCCAGCTATTTGCATCTGCACAATTAATCCATTTAGAGAACCGCGTGCGTTACTGTCAAGCAGTAAAGTTGGCGTCGTAAATAGCGCCCACGACTTTGGTAGGTGTTAAAATAGAGGCGCCCTGTGCGGTCACACCAAACTCAATACCATTCCTCGCTTTATGGTAATCCCTAATATCCGGCACGAGTGCTCTCTATCTCGGTTTAACTGCTACTATTTTAACATTATCGGCTTACGGCACGTCCATATTAGACTTATGTCTTTTTACTAATCTACAGCTTTGAGGAATCTCAAAATGTGCGCTGAACTTTGGTACTTGAAAACATACGGAATATAACAAACAATATTATGATATTTTGTATAATGACAACTTGGTAAGTATTGTCTGCACTTTACGCGAGTACACCTTTAAATATAACACTTTTAACGGTTTCAAACGCAAAATATATAATTTAACTTAGTAACAATTTATTTTAACTACGTAACTGCGTGACGACGATCGGAGCAAAGTATCGGACACATCGGGCCGTAAAATAAATTATAAACCCGTTACTTAACTAATATTTTTTCCTTTTAAACCGTTTGAATTGTTTTATTTAAAACCACTATAAAGAACTATGTAGAAGAGACTAAATACATTATTACTATTAGTATTTTGATTGATTATTACTAATCGTTAAAAAAATAATATGATTTGATAAATATTAAACTGACATTTATATACTTAGTGCTTATTAAGACATACGAATAATTGTGAAATTTTCAATGTCTTTAATTAAATTTAATGTATATGTTGAAAACGTGGGTAGAACTGTAGTGGTCTCGTTTCATTTTTTTTACCACCAAGATTAAGCTTTTTCACTTCCATTCACTAAATGGATAAAAAGTGTTGGCACGTCAATCACTTTTTGTATTAGGTTTTTTTCTCCTGCTTAATTTACATATAAAGTGTTCTGCGAATCATCATGCATTAGCATTAGTATCTTCAACAGGGGATGGGTTGACAAGGGAGTCCATTTTAAATGCCTTTTTTGCTCAAGACCTAACGACCTAAGGGTCGAGCACTAACACCACACTTGTCTACTACTTACTTACCTTAAAAGACTCGACTTAAATGTCAATTGTTTCAAGAATAATCTGTCTCGTTATTGATTGATTTATTATAAGCAATCGTAAGAACGTTTGGTCTAAAACTCTCAATATGTTGGAAAAGCTAATTTAAGCACGTTTTACAAATGTTTATCGTTTCTAAAAAAATATCACAATTTTCAATCACATAAGTGGAATCTCGTTTCCCACCTTGGGGCATGGGGCTAACTCATTTCTGTATCCGTTTCAATGATCGGTTTTATTTACATGCAAGTAGATGATCGGACTTCTGTGCCCTGCCCGACTGAAATAATTTATTTCTTTATATTTCTTCTTTCTTAGAATCTATTTCCGATGCTTTGCAGCAGCCGTGGTCTCCCCGTGACCACGGCTGCTGCAAAGCATCCGAAACGTCGGGCCGAAGTTAAAAATCATTTTACAAATAAGTTTAACTAATATATCGCGTTTTAAACCGTTAAAGTGTGTTATTTAAAAAATTTTTGATTTCTCTCGTTCTTAACGCAATGTTAGGCAACACGTGTAACTAGCCTCAGAGACGCTGGAGCTAGATATTTAATAGGTGTTAATTAGAGAGAATGTCACCGCGGGAACCTTTTTCACTGAGATGGACATAACAAGGTTTCAAGCGAATAAAAAATGTGAGCCCCTGCATCATTTGCAGGCTCAGCCGTCCGTCACTCGGGCAGGAACTGATTATATCGCTTTTATTTATTGCGGGACACTCGCTTCGAACATTCAAGGGTTGGCAATTGTTAACTGTACTCGTGTTTATCAGATTTCTTTTCAATGGTTGGAAAATTAACGGGCTTAAGCTAACTTGTCATGTTGCTTTGTTTACTGAATTTTACGGTGTTCGTAATCCGCTAAGACGGGCTAATAATCAACGGGTCCGACATTTTTCTAATTAGTGATTTTTTTTTTGATGTTAAATATGTGCCAGGAATTACGATTTACCGTCCTCAGATGAAATAGCCTTAATCGCGCTTTCGATTTTTGTTTGGATTTCCCAATTGTCTGTCCTTTTCTATTACTAAGAAAACACTAAAACCTACACACAGTATATACTTAATATGGCTTTGGTAGCAATCTAGTATTGTTTACGCCTTAAGCCTCTCCAAAAAAAATTTATTTCGAACCGCTAGTTCCTGAGAAAAACGCGTTTAAACAAACGCACCAACAAACTCTTCATCTTTATATTAGTATAGGTAAATAACAATTTCGTCGTCTGGAAAGGTCGATATAACGTAAAGTAGTATGTACTTTATTTTATACACAGTAACAGTATCCCAAGCCTTAATTCTGTTGTCTGTTATAAATTAACAGACGTCTGTAAGTAATGCCCCGAAATATTTTTAATTAACTCACGACAACATAAGCCATGGGGAGTGTCAACGTTTCGATAAATCACTTGAAATGTGTTAACGATAGAAACAAACCCGCCCTTCCAACAAATGTGTCGACACTATCTGCTGCTAAAATTAGCTTTTAGTTTTAACGTCTATACAGATTGTACGATAATTTTTATAAGTAACTACGCACTTATGTAACAAATAATACATGATATATAACTAAATACTTTATATGATAATAAAAGTCTAAATCAAGCAGGACCCATACTCGTAGTCCTAATGAAAAATGCCTAACCAAACATATGGAATTTCTCCCGAATGTCTTGGCGACATGTTTTCGCTCTGTGTGACCCTCATGAAATTCAAACAAATTTTCCTTCACTCCATGGATATTAAGACGCGGACGTAATTTTGAAAATCCAACATGATATAGAAAAGCTAGGTAAACCCATAAAAATACTATTTGAAACAAGATGCCATTAGCTATATTAGCATTTAGCATAAGCAGGTATACTAAATCTTAAAGCTATATAAACACTTTTAAGACAATAACGTGAAATATATCAGTAAACTTATTCACAATTTATTTTAACTACGGCCCAAGGTGTACAGACTCAGCAACGCGTTTTAAACCGCTGAAAGTGTTTTATTTAAATGTGTCGATAAACTACAGACATTACTTATGGAAAGTAAATTAAGACATTATATAAACCTTAACCTTATCGTCCAGATTAAAACAATTTCCATAACGGATAAAATAAACTTATTTAATGATACTTAATTGCGTTTTCATTTATCGTTTTTTGCTTGTCATTACATACGACTAATTTGTAAATTTTTTAACAACTTTATCGTAAAGCGAGACCACCTGTCGTTTATGCATTAAGGTTGTTTGTGCATATAGGGACATGTTTAATTAATGATTTTATGCTGCAATAGCATCATTAATGCATTGTTCTAAACCTTACGATACAAGTTGTAATACTTATTATGTGTACACGAACCCTATCTAAGAACATCTACATTTCATTAAAGGCCGAATATTCGATTCCTAGAAGCTCGGTGCGCATACGTCGTTTACGAGGTCAATGACGTAATGACAAACAGTGTTTTATGCCGACGACCCTATCATCACACTATAAAACATTTTACACCGACATTGACCCCCCTTTAATCACACTTTTATGACAATGGGACGCTTTGAGTGTCTAACAATTATGGTTACTCGACATTATGTCTTATGAATGACAAGGAGGCAGGAAGACAATGTATTTCTAAATAAAATAGGGCCGATAGTGCATCCTAGTGTCACTCCATATGGTTGAATCGTTTTACCGTACTATATTATTCATTAAAATTGGTATAGAGTACGAACTATCAAAGCTATCACTTGCAAAGCTTTGTTTTTTTATAATTGTTACCCTGTAGATAATTAATTTTCGTGTTTTCACAGAGGGTGGAAGACTAGAAGCTGAACTAAAATACACGGCGCAAGCATTAGGTGAAGCAGATTCCTCCACGCATCAGCTTGTGATTCAGACGGCGAAGGATCCAGACGTGTCTTTACTGCATCCGGGGGCATTACTTGAGCACTTGAAGGTAAACTTTGCAATTGAATTTGTTTTCTTATTCCTTTACATAGGGGCTATAGAGCATGACGATTGATCATGCTTATAGGAATTAAATGCCACGCAAATTTAGTCTTTTTTGTCAATTTCAAAACGTTACTCTTTAAAAAAAACTGTTAAAATTTTACGACCTCAATTTGTCGAGATAGGTGGTGCACGCTGCGACTCGGGTGACGGTGCATATGTATGAGATCGAATGGCGTCTCAAGGACCTCTGCTACAGCCCAAGCATCCCAGACTTCGAAGGCTACCACCACATCGAGTCGATCATCGACAACGTCATACCATGCGCCATCATAACTCCTCTAGACTGCTTCTGGGAAGGCTCCAAGTTATTGGGTCCGGATTATCCGATTTTTGTGCCGTAAGTACTTTACCTTGTAAAGAATATCTAATAGTCCTTAGGGCGCATTTTCAAACAATGTAATTTTCAAAGCTCTTAAAATATCGTAAAAGATTGTTGATTTTTAAGTTACTTGATCCTAAAATGACACACAATGAATGAGTTCCGAGGTTTTTACAAGTACTGTCTCTTTAACACTAGCATTAATAAGGGAAAAGATTATTAATACTAAATTACTAGTAATGAATGGATATTTAATGTTTAGGACGTATTGGGGGGTTCCGGGTGACTTGACGTCTGCTTCAAGAATGTCCTTTCATCAAGCAATTCTTTACAGACATCTGAAGCACAACAAATTACAATGGACCCATCTCAATCCCCTCGAGGTGATAGAAGAAGTGAAGAAGCTGAAGTTCCAGTTCCCGCTCAGCACGATGGAGGCATACATGAAGCGTGCTGGCATCACGTCCGCCTACATGAAGAAGCCGTGCCTGGATCCCTTGGATCCGCAGTGCCCAGCCACAGCGCCCAACAAAAAATCTGGACATGTAAGTACCGCTAAACTACGTCAATGTTACGGTTATCGTGAGAAAATAGTGGTAATTAAAACAATTTTCACGGTTAAAAATGCAAAACTGTACTGCCCAATGTCACGGGTCGTGTAATAAATTAATTGTAACATTGAAATAAATTAAAAATGAAGTAATATATGTCGTGTAAACTACAGACAATCCTTAATTATTCAAAACATGGACTCATTGATACTATTAATTAAATACAATATTTTAATATGCTGTAGGTATAAAAAGATCCTAACCATTATTGCATAAATAGATTTTGTGCTTAGTACTTTTAGTAATTTTGTTTTCTTTTGCAATACGTCATTTAGATTCTAGACGAAGTATAAAATGTTACCTTTTACGCACCAGCGGTTACGTGATCAATTATTTATATATTTTTTATTAAACATACACTCTTAAAGTCTATTTGAGTCGTATAGTTAGATTTAACGACTTGTATTGAATCGGCTACCCAGATTAAATTCTATACATACAAGAACTGTGCTGGTCAAAGCGTTTATAACAACTTAACGACATCCTTAACGACATAATCCTACGCAACAGTGCTAATTCTGGAAACCTTTACAAACGGACATTTCGTGCCTAAATTGCAACCGTATTTTTTGTCCCCATCATTAGCCCAACTCAACACAGTCGAACCGTATATTACAGCTTCCTTGTTTGGCGGCCGGATGATTGAGACGTATACCATTCATTCGTTACCCCACATTTGGGGACGAATTACTCTTCATTTTGTGAACAGCTCAATTTACAACATGGGTGCGTACATAGCATCTTACCCGCTTATTTGTTTTATTTGCGATAGGCAAAGAAGAAAAGCCTTTTCAACAAGTACTGGCCAATAATTGCGACTAGTATTGTAGAGCAACTGGATAAAAGAGATGATCATAGAACTTAAGATATTTTTTTTCTATCTTATGTTTTGTTCCTTTAATGTAAACATTTTGGTTAATGTACTGTTCTATTTCAAGTGTCAAGCGTCAGTGATGTCAGCGGGGCATCACTGAAACTCGACGATGTGCCTACTTACAGGCACAACAAAACCCGAGTAGCGTCCCTCCACATATATCTATGATTATTTATTTTAATAAAAAAAAAACTCATTTTTGTCATCTTTACTAGATGTAAGACTTTGCTACACGCATTCACATATTAATATTGAAGTCTTATATAGTATATTGAAGATAGTCCTTTCGATCTATGTGTTATTAGTTGGGTAAGAGCAACGAGTAAAATATGCGTGCGCGTATGCCATTGGAATACAGGAATATCTCCATTATGATAAAATATTTCTGGAAACGGTAATAAGACGGGATAAAAGCGGTCGCCGCCGGCAGATGGTGCGACTACCTGTCTCCGACCCGCCGCGTATCGAGAAAGTTACGCTTTGATGCTGTGTCGCGGACGCACCTAACATAAATACGATCGACGAATTAATTTGTATTTTATACAGATAAAAGTTTATGACCGAGACCAACAAGGATGCGTTATATGCCGGAGATCGAACAAATATTTGCTCTCGGAAAGTTCGAAAAACTTTAGTCTATTCAAAAGGGTACCTTAATTACTAATAAGTGTTTTGATTAAATACTGTCTATAGCTTACGCGAGTAGTACACATTTAAATAAACACTTAACGGTTTAAAACGAATTAGTTAAACGTTTAAAAAACGTTTAAAAAACGTTTAACTAATATATCGCGTTTTAAACCGTTAAAGTGTTTTATTTAAATGTGTACTATTCGCGTAAACTATAGACAGTATTTAAATGATGACGTATTACTTAAAACAATTGACAGATAATTAAACATACAGGACCGGATATTTATGAGCCCTGGTTTAGCTTAACCTTCAGCCAGTCAGCATCTTGCAGCCCCGGAATGCATGTACCAAACAGATTCATTGATTGTTAAACAAATAATGCAGTCGACGTCTGCTTGAGTGGGTGCGTTTTTGTGCACGAGAAGAGGCGTCGCCACCCACGTTCGGCGAAGGACCGCGCCGAAGTCCGGGCGAGCATTGTCCTAGGGGCCACACTAAAATTATACGGGTGCATTGTAGACCCCATACGGCACCGACAATGACACCATTCTATCAATAATACGAGTACAAACGAGAAATTCCCGGGAATCGTAAATTTGTGTTCCGCTTTGTTCGAAATTGAAACGTAAAGCAAGTGTTTACCTGGTATCCTAAGACACCTGTTTAGCACGCAATTTCTGCGTATTGAAATGGGCATTGTTCGCGGGCCCTTTATTCGAAGTGTCTTTGTTGTTTTTTAATCCTATCTAAAACTTTAAGTTTAGTACAAGGCATACTGCATACTAGCTGTGTCAGCGACTTGGTCCGCGTAGAATAGTCATTTTGGGCATCCACATTCGATTTGATGATGGCGATATGCAACCCCTTCATCTGTATAAACTTAAGCCATAACTGACGACGTTGAACGCTTCCCGTCGTTCTTGCAAGTTAATCTTCAAAGACACATACTGTCGCGGACACATACTTTTTTTAGATCATTTAGATATTTAAAGAGGAATCATTCCATACATATTTTTGGGTATCTCGAACCATTTTTGCAGCGTACGCCTCGGAAACCCATAATAATCCTATTAGTCACAGCGCGATGTTTTATACCTTTCTCGATAAATTCTATAACCAACACAAAACAACAAAAAATATTAATTCGATCCTGTAGTTCCTAAGATTAGCGCGTTCCAAAATACAAACAAACAAACTCTTCAGCTTTATATATTAGTACTAATCTAACATAATTTCACTTATAGATTCCAGATGTCGCAGCAGAGCTATCTCACGGATGCTACGGTTTCGCGGCAGCCTACATGCATTGGCCAGAACAGCTGATAGTGGGCGGTGCGACCAGAAACTCTACATCAGCCTTGCGAAGCGCCAAAGCCCTGCAAACCGTCGTCCAGCTGATGGGAGAAAGAGAAATGTACGAATATTGGGCGGATCATTACAAAGTGCACCAAATCGGCTGGAATCAAGAGAAGGCTGCCGCCGTCCTAGATGCGTGGCAGAGGAAGTTTTCTGCTGTAAGTGCTCAAATTTATTCAACATACTACTTGCAACTTCTACTAAAAACACGAGAGCTTATTGCTTGCAGTCTTACGGTTCTCGTTTCTTTTTATGACAGAAAACCGACTAGGATTCGATTGATAGAAAGGAAATATCCTCAAGTGGAAGAATTAAAATGAATTTAATTCTTCTATAAGGTTTAATACTTTATTGCAGGAAGTAAGAAAGATAACCACATCTGGCCAAGTGTCGGCAGCGTATAGTTTCTACCCGTTTTCGACTTCGACGCTCAACGATATCCTTGGGAAGTTCTCTGAAGTGTCTCTGAAAAACATTGTCCTGGGCTATATGTTGATGGTGAGTTTTCGAACCATTGAATAAAATTGCTCTTTTGTGTTTTCATTTTACTTTACATTAATTACAAAACCAATAATTATTTCCATTCATTTAGCTTCGATTATTTTTGTATTTCTTTTTGTTTATGTTTTTTATTTAATTTCAGTTGATTTACGTGGCCGTTACGTTAATACAGTGGCGGGACCCGATCCGTTCTCAAGCTGGAGTTGGTATAGCTGGTGTCCTTCTACTTTCTATAACCATTGCAGCGGGTTTAGGCTTTTGCGCTTTGTTAGGTGATTATTTTTTTTGTAGCATTTCATTTGTTTCTAGTTTTTTTTTATTTAAACTATAAAAAGAAACACATTTTTACCTTTTTTTAATTTGTAACTCCATAATATCATGGCAGCGTTCAAAATATTGTGTACTCACACAGTATAAACTGAAAATTCCATCAATTTCAGGCATACCATTTAACGCTTCCAGTACGCAAATAGTTCCATTCTTGGCGCTAGGTTTAGGAGTCCAAGACATGTTTCTTCTTACTCACACGTATGTGGAACAATCCGGAGACGTTCCAAGGGAAGAAAGGACTGGTCTTGTGTTAAAGAAAAGCGGTTTGAGCGTGCTCCTGGCTTCTCTCTGCAACGTGATGGCATTTTTAGCGGCAGCTCTGTTACCTATACCGGCGTTTAGAGTGTTTTGTTTACAGGTAAGGCTTTTTAACTTCAAATAGCGACACAATGTATTTTAATACTATGGAAATATCTTTCGATCAGTTTTGAAAATACATATGCCTCTGAATTTGAATCACTCACAAGTGGAAGTCTTTTTTGGAAATGGGTGGAATGGTCAGCTGATGATGTGGACTGATCACCAGGCCTTTTATTGGTGTCCCCGATAGAAAAATAAGAAAATAAAAATAAGGTCTTTTAAATTGTAAATACATTTTTTATGTATAATTAAAACTGGTCAAGCGAGAGTTGGTCATATATGCAATTAGTACTGTGCATATTACACAACAAAAATTTTCATTTATTAAAATTTTCAGGCGGCAATACTCTTGCTATTCACTCTTGGTTCAATGCTATTGGTATTTCCGGCGATGATTTCACTCGATCTGCGGAGGAGATCTGCTGCTAGAGCAGATCTGTTATGCTGTTTGCTGCCAGAGAGTCCACTACCGAGGAAGAAGCTTCCAGAAAGAACTAAAGGCCGTAACATGCGAAATGAAAAGGTAAGGGAAATTTATATCCAACTAATATTACAAGAGTTAAGTTAATTTAAAAATCGATATGTAACTCATATTTCATGTGCACATGTGCATAACATTTACAAAATTATAAAGTTTTGAAGAGTTAAGTTTGTAAAGATTTTACTCTTACGCCTAAATGGATTTACCGATCTTGATAATAATTGTTAATATAGGAGACATTTCAAATAACACATATACTCTTCTTTATCTCTAAAAGATCTTAAATGCATTTGTTTGTTGATACAATTGTGTATTACATTTTACTTCCATATATTTTTATATCTTATTTTCTTTAAAGCAATGTTGTTCTTTAAAGCATACCAGGTAGGTCCCCCTTAAAGCAAATAAATAAGGGTTATTTATTATGTGGATTCGTATTTAATAACATGTTTTTAATGTTTACAGAATAGGATTGATTCATCTCGACAACCTTTGGACCCCGAAGTGACAGAAGAAGCAAAAACTTGCTGTCTCAGCATCTCACTAACAAAATGGACAAAGAACCACTACGCACCGTTTATCATGAGGCCATCTGTTAAAGTGACGTCGATGTTGGCATTAATAGCTGTGATATTGGTCAGCGTATGGGGAGCTACTAAAGTGAAAGATGGTCTAGACCTCACAGATATTGTACCAGAAAACACGGATGAGCATGAATTTCTGTCACGTCAAGAGAAGTATTTCGGCTTCTATAACATGTACGCGGTCACTCAAGGAGACTTCGAATACCCAACGAACCAGAAACTACTCTACGAATACCACGAGCAATTCGTGCGAATCCCGAATATTATTAAGAATGACAATGGCGGTCTTCCTAAATTCTGGCTAACACTCTTCAGGGAGTGGCTTTTGGATCTTCAAGCAGCATTCGACAAGGAAGTAGCTAACGGTTGTATAACGCAAGAATACTGGTGCAAGAACGCAAGCGACGAAGGTATACTGGCATACAAGTTGATGGTACAAACCGGACACGTGGATAATCCAATAGACAAGTCTCTAATTAACTCTGGTCACCGTTTGGTGGATAAGGATGGTGTAATCAATCCGAAGGCATTCTATAATTACTTATCAGCGTGGGCCACTAATGATGCACTAGCGTATGGAGCGTCCCAAGGGAACTTAAAACCTCAACCGCAAAGATGGATTCACTCACCAGAGGATGTACACTTGGAGATTAAGAAGTCCTCTCCCCTGATTTACACTCAACTTCCATTCTACTTATCTGGTCTCAGCGATACGGATAGCATTACGACGTTAATTATGGCTGTTAGGGACTTATGTTTGAAGTACGAAGCGAAGGGATTGCCCAATTTCCCATCGGGGATTCCGTTTTTGTTCTGGGAGCAGTATTTGTATCTGCGGACTTCGCTGTTGTTGGCTCTCGCTTGTGCATTGGCGGCTGTTTTTGTGGTGAGTAGTTATATACTGATTAGATACTTTAATCAAATAAATAGAGACTGTAAATGAAATGTAATTAGGTCTATTATAGCATATAGCCAGTCGTTATATTTTCTAGTATGAAACTAAAACTAAAAACTTGGCTCTACAAATTGGGCCTCTTCTTTAGCACTTGAATAATAATGTTTACTGATTCCCAACATAAGCTTTTGACATGCTTTTACATAATTACCTTATATACGTAAATAAATACTATTTACATACTATCTTAGAAACGTATTCAGTGAGCACCACTTACGTACATGAATACATAAACCGTTACCTACGCTTATGGTAAGCAAGAGAGGTTCAGAGTTCAAATCCCAGGGTAACAAAAAAATTGTTTCGTTTCCACGAGATACAGTAGTCTGATCAACTATCCGTAATTTAAGTCATCAGTAAAATAGACATCACTGTAATTGTATTTTCTCAACTACGAATGGTTGTACATTTAACAATTTTTTTACAGTGCGTGATGATAGTGGTATTGAACGCGTGGGCTGCTCTTCTCGTGACGGTTTCATTGGGTGCATTGGTCCTGCAACTGGTTGGTGCTATGTCGCTGCTGGGTGTGAAATTGTCGGCGATGCCAGCTGTTCTGCTCGTGTTGGCGATTGGGCGGGGCGTGCATTTTACTCTGCATTTGTGCTTAGTGAGTGTTTTTTTAGGTCCATTAATAAGATTCAACATTTAGAACAGACTCACCTTGTTTTACAAAGTATTTGTTATTGAAATTAATTGATAATTCGTCATTATCATCCACTAAAATTATATTTTCTAATTTGCCAGGGCTTTGTAACGTCGATTGGATGCAAGCGACGTCGAGCCAGTCTAGCCCTAGAAAGTGTTCTAGCTCCTGTTGTACATGGTGCTGTAGCGGCTGCGTTAGCTGCTTCTATGTTAGCAGCAAGTGACTTTGGCTTCGTAGCCAGATTGTTCCTACGGCTATTGTTGGCTATGGTCGTTTTGGGATTAGTTGATGGACTTCTGTTCTTCCCGATTATTCTTTCGATATTGGGACCCGCGGCGGAGGTAAGAAATCTCCCAACTTGATTGCAATATAAGTGAAATACATATTGTATTTAACATGGAATATGTACTCCTATACTTAATAAAGATAACAAAAGCAGATAATAAGCCCATCAATTGCTTACTTTGTGCATTTACTTCAAAATTATCAGCCCACATCATATCCCTTATTTGCAGCGGAAATGTAGTAATAATAAAGAGGGTAGTTTAACAAACCTTTTACATTATAATGTGTTGGTTACAGGTACGACCCTTGGAGCACCCCGAGCGTCTCTCAACGCCGTCGCCTAAGTCATCTCCCGTCCATCCTCGCAAGTCTAGTTCTAGTTCAAATGGTGATAAATCTAGTAGGACTAAGTCTGCGCCCAGACCCTCCGCCCCATCTCTCACTACTATCACAGAGGAACCTTCAAGTTGGCACAGTTCAGCACATTCAGTACAATCTTCGATGCAGTCGATAGTTGTACAACCGGAAGTCGTTGTTGAAACCACCACATATAATGGAAGTGACTCAGCCTCTGGTAGATCGACTCCAACTTCTAAGTCCTCTCATGCTGGATCTATAACGACTAAGGTGAGACAATTTTTTATACTTTATTTAATTCGAGTATTTTCAAATTAGCGCGACAGATGGATCTTATTAGTAACTTTTTGCTTTATAGTTTACCGACACTTATAGAAAAAATCCCAACTAACTTTTAGATAGTAAAAAAACTACTATGAGTTTATACTTCACTTTCATATTTAACACTTCAGCTATATCGTGTTTTTTATCACTTAATTGATACAGATTTATCAATGGACTGTTATCTAATTAGATCATCTCTTTTCTCAGGTGACCGCTACTGCAAATATAAAGGTTGAAGTTGTAACACCGGGCGACAGAAAATCCCGCAGATCGTACCACTACTATGATCGACGTAGAGATCGTGACGACGAGCGGGATAGAGATAGAGACCGCGACAGAGACAGAGATAGGGATCGAGACCGCGAGAGGGAAAGGGATAGAGATAGGGAGCGTGACAGAGACCGCTCCCGTGAACGGGATAGACGAGACCGGTATAGAGACGAACGGGAGCACCGGGCGTCGCCCAGGGAAAACGGTCGGGACTCAGGACACGAGAGCGATTCATCGAGACATTAAATCGATTAGAAATAAGAATAATGGATGATTTATAGGAATTACGAAAAAGAAATCGAATTAATGGTTTAAAATTAAAATCAACAATGGTTATTAAAGTTTTTTAAAACTTTATTTATAAATACATTATTTTGCAAAGCGATTACAATCAATCCAAATGATATCATGTACCGATTTGAAATCGATTTAAAATCATAATTTTCTATAAATGTGCTATTGATAGAGAAAATGAATGAATTATTGGACCCGTATTCGAATATAAGTAAATGTTTAGGTATAATTCCGGATACCTAGTGTTAATATTTCGCTGTATATTGCAATAATGTATAAAACGACATCTTTACCTGAAGTAATGGCTCGCTGGAATAATGTAAACGTGTTTTAAGGTTCACCGTGTATTACGCCTTAAGACAGTATTACAACCGTTTATTCTTAGTTTCTTTTAAGTGAAGTCTACACTCGCTGCCTCAGAATTTCTAGTTACTGAATCTCGAAAATTTTTCATACATCATTGTCTATCTAAAATCATTCCTTAATCACTTAAAAGTTTACTACATATCGTAGTTAACATGACTATTCGTATTGATAAAAATCGGTTATCAATTCGCAATAATCGGTTATTTAATCTCAATAATCGAATATTCAATCTCAATAATCGATAATTCAATTGCAATAATCGATTGCTAGCCACCGCATTAGTTAAGACCAAAAAAACTGTATACATTTGAGTGTTCCTATTTTAAAGACACGCTTAATTTCTATTATCTTCAAACAGTTTTAAGACTGTGGTCGTTTAAATTAATTTATTTATTCTGTGTCTATAATTTTATTACTCGCATCTGTTACTCAGATTAATTGTACAAATTATTTAAGTAGATAAGAGGTTGTATATTAGTTAAGGTATTATTTATGAGATTATTATTATACAAAGTAGCTGTATTGTTGTGATCTGTATGGGCTCACGATTCGTACGATAAAGACTGCGTTTAGAGATTGTATTATCGGGTACAATGGAATAACCACTTTGGGTAAATATTTTTGTTATAGCAGAATCGTACTACTACGGTACATAGAACGAAAAACATTATTTTGTTAAGAATTTTATGTAGCTTAATTTTAACTACAGAATTACATTTTTAAAGGAACTTTTAACTAATAGCTCGGACCTGAAACGAACGTTGTGACATAGTGCAGTAGTACTTACTAGTATATATTAATTTATCTATATTGTATAACGTAGTTATGTAAATATAGGGTAAGTATACTTATAAGAACGCACAATATGAAACATCAATTTTAAATGACTTGAAATATGGAAGTGATTGTCTACACTTGTGACTCAGAAGAAAAAATCGTTATTAACTGTATTTTAAAGTTTTTTATCGATTTTATTGAAATTATACGTGTTTATCAATTTACACGTAAATACTTACAAATATTTTGAAGCGAACATTTTGACATTTTATTACTAGTATGAAGCGTAAGAAATTGTAATGAGGAAAATAAATATTTTATGTACATAATGTTTGGTTTTAATTTTTACTATTTAGCCCTAATATAGTTAAATTAGTTTCAGATCATTTATACGTATTAACGCGCAACTACAAAAATCGATCCTTCCCCTATTATTAACCATGACATCATCTCTACCCCGAAAAGCTATTAACGCCTCACAATTACCTATCGTTTAAATTATAATAGCGGGCGGACGAAATTTGGCGGCAACTACATTCCTTAGAAATCAGGAGCGCGGGAATCAATAAAGGATTTCCTGGCGGCTTGCCCACGCATGTGCGTAACGGACTAACTCCGACCACTGTTTTAGGGTATAGAAATCTTTGTGGCTAAAACAAGTTTAATTTTAGCGAAAAGCCATAGTGGCTATGATGGACAGTAGTTATAGTATGGGCGCAGTTGTGCAATACCCGGCGTATTAGCCTTCGCCTCTGACCCTGCATGATCAAATAAATCTCAATAATAAGGCTCCGGTTCTGTATTGCCAGATTTTTAGTCTCTTAGCTCTCCATGATATGACTTTAAAATAAATTTATCGGTGGGACCATTGTATCGATATGGTAGGTAATTGGGTTCAAACTCAAAACAGTTCAATAAAAATAGAGCCTTTGTGTAATTTTTATTGTTTTAAACATAATCTCACTTTTATAATATTTTTTATTAATATTAATAAAAGAAAGCTTGATTAAGCCTTTAGGTTCGAAGCCTACTTGCCGATAGATTAGGTCGAAATTACTGTTATTTTGGGTCTTCATAAGATCCCTAATAAGGTGCAAAACCTGTTTTATGGCAACCCAGGCTGCGTTATTGGGCGTATGATTCGCGCGCACCGCCACTGCGGCTGGGCGGGGCGCGGGTTGCGCGACGGCGCGAAACTAACCCCGCGGCTCATTCGCGCCACGCTAGACGGACGTACTCTGTGGTCTATGCACGAAGGACACATTTGTGACTCGGTGCAGTGTTCGTATAGTTACATGTAGAGTAGTGGTGTTTGACTGTGATGTGGGGAGTGAGATGGTGATAGCTACCATGTCCCGGCGTCCGCTGCTGCTGCTAGCCCTCCTGGCGGCCGCGCTCGCCAACCAGTTAGAAGACATACCACATAATGAGTAAGTTTTCACAGCGTTCATAGTCAAGGACTCTCGTATTGTAGAATTGGGTAAAATTAATTAAATGGCAACTAGTACTTCCAACTTTTGAAATTGGAATAAATCGAATTACGATTTATAATATGGCCACAGATGTACTAAACAAAATGTTATTAAAAATATCAAAATATTTAAAAATCTAGTTAAATACAAGAATTAAAAAGACATTTCATATTCTCTCTCTCCCTTTTGAATTACACCTGTATATTTTTTTTCTTAGTCTTGCTTCCATTCTTTTTAAATGCGTGACCTTCAATTTAAAGTGCAGCTAACACAGTTCAACATTATATAACATTTATGTCTCTACTATTATGCAATCGATTCTAAAATACATTTTTGTAATTAAGAGATGATTAAGTATTTAACTCAAGTTATCATATATTACACAGCACAAATACGTGATGAAAAAATGTACGCTTAAAAGAGTGCATCAAGCAATTACTTCTAGGCAAACTGAAAAGATTAATCCAATCTGAAAAGTTAATGAAAATAAATAATTTGAAGGAACAAAAACTGCAGCAGTCTTAAAAGAACACGTATTATAAAACCAATGAAAGACACACATTAAGACAACACTTTAAACAGTTTAAAACGCAAAAGATAATATACAATAGCCATGGTCCTTTCAACAGAATCGTTTTGGACTGTTTTATTAAAAACTACGTTATCTTAAGACCAGACGTAAGTATGGGCCCTATACCTTTACCCTTTATTACATTGTAAAGAATGATCTGTAAATGTAATTAAAGGTTTTTCATTAAACAATAATTTGTTTTGAAGTTATATGTACCTACATGTGTAAAAAGAAATACATAACAAATTAAAAATCTACAGAGTACATAGATTATATGTTCATATGCGATAAAATTAAAGGTTTATAGGTTATCAAGTTCCAACATAAATTGCTTAGTATCAACTGCTAAGCTGATGAGATCATATTAATTATTTGGAAATTAGTACACATTTTTCAAATTCTTTCATTAATAGTTATTCTAGAAAACGCTCGAACTTACATTTGACATTTGACATTTATTTGTTGTACGTATTTGTCTGTGTCCGGTGAGACAGGTACAAAAATAGCATAGATTACGATAAAGATCACTTTAGAATTCCCTTGGTTGAAAACGATTGGTTTCCAATTTGCATATGTACTTAAAAATTTAATAATCCCGCTTCCTTATTATAAAGGCATGGAACCAGACTATTTGGTGGACAAGGGCGTCGAAACGTAAAGAAAGAAGCGGCCTCTTACCCCCCCTTTCCATGCAGATTTTATAGATGTAACTATCATCTCTTTTCAAAGATGAAATTAGAGGACTAAGCTTCGTGGCCCTGGTGTAGGGCCTAATGTAGCACAAGACCTTACAATAGCTATGCCACTGGTATCAGTTCTGTTCCTTTTAGACAGATTTAAGTATCTTGTCGATTGAAACTATCTGTGGGTCCCGAAGACTTCTAGTCACAAGGTACACAAGGCGTATAATTAAGTCATGGAGGCTATATTAAATGACATGAAAAGTTGTTGTCTGAGCTACAATGGTCTACATTGTAATTTAAAAAGGATTTGATTAAATATCTGTAGTGATTATTACATTCGAATAATATAATTACTGTACATTGTAAGTTTCTCCCAATCAAGAGAAAACTTATTCGTACATACAGCGTAAACTCCGTTTAACGACAGACTCAAACCACTCAGTGAACTGCCTTACCTTTCATATAATGATAAACTGTATATGGAATTAGATGTATTCTCAATAATACAGAATACTAACGAACGACGAAATTATTGATAAGGTAGTTGTACTAAAACGTCCTGATACCGCAAACCCAGAAGAGTCATAAGACAATTTTAATAGACAGGCTTTGTTTATTATGTAATTACTAAAACCGTTTCAAATTTAGATAATATAGGTTTTTCTTCTCAACGACAACAAAGAGTTTACAATATATTTTAAACTTTTTAATAATTAAATATTATATTAATCTGGCTTAGTTGTTCAACGTTTAAGATAAGAGGTCCTGAGTTTAATTTTAAAAAAATGTGCAATAAATGTACATACAGAATACGAAGCACTAATCAGACAAATGGACTTAAGGACCTGTAAATTACTCGAGCAGTACATATTTAAATAAAACCATTTTTAACGGGTTAAAACGCGAAATTAGTTAACTACAAGGTTTCGGATGCTTTGCAGTAGCCGTAGTCACGAGGAGACACTTGACTTGCCTACGTAGGAGATAAATGACCAAAACCTACTGATTAATTTCCGCTAAAAAGCAAAATGTGGACGTAGTTACAGCATAAGTTAATTATAAGAGCTAAAAAACAAGCAAAATAAGCCTCTTTTGACGGGATCATTGGTCTAATGCTAGCACAGCTAATAATTTTTTTTTTTTTATTTATTTATCATATCATCATAACAATACATTTATTTATATATTGATAGCAATAAAAAACCACTAAGGTTTAAACTGATGCCATCGTGAGTTTACTTTTTACCTACCTACCGGGTCTTACATGTATCTAATGAGAGTTCTAAAACATGTTGGAATATGTCTGGGAAGTGCATTGCGTTTGTATTCTGTCGATTACCGAATGTTTTTGGCAAAATAAGGTCGACAACGCGTGTTGTTTAGTTGTTATTGGGGTATTACATCTTCCATCAAGGGTTCACGGTATGTTCTCGTGTTTAATAAAAACTTTGAAACAATGCTTTAGATTTTAGAAACACATCAATTCCTACAATCTAAAGCATTTATTAAATGGCAGATTATATGCTGAAAAAATAATTTGGATTGGTGACTACAGACGCCCACTATCATGATAATAATGAACGCGCTTAGAAACTCGGTAACTTGAAACTTTGACCTTCAGCCTCAAGCATCCTTAACTAAATCTCCAACACGAGTTTCCAGTTTAAATTAATAAGTGACTGCAGGTTTTAAATTTTCCTTTTATGTTATAATACAAAATGATCTAAATAAGGTAATTGTATGACATATCGGATTCAAATATAGAGACTGTCATCATCATTAACACTATAACGAGGTCGCTTTAGAAAGAAGAAAGAAAGAAAGAAAAATTGAAATAAATCTTAAAATCAAATACTCACGTTAAAGACGTTGAAATTGTTAATGTATATGTTTTATAATTTAATAATTGAACCGGCATCGTCAGCGTTCAGAGCAACAGCACGGAACGCTGACGATGCCGGTTCAAGTACTTTCAGAGTCGAAAAATTTTTCAATTTATTTTCGCTTTTTAAATTGTATAGTGCCTTCATCTGCAATAACATGTAAAAATAATAAAGTTTTCAAAGTTGTGAGGCTTAAAATAAAGTATATACGTATTTTATTTTAAGCTTCACAGACTTATTAATTAAACTAAGAAATGTTTTGTGTAGATGCGTGTTTTTTTTTATCTAAATTAACTTACAAGCATTTGGGTTTAACACTCGTTATCACATACATTCGAATTTATTTTCCTTTATGATATATGACGACAGATATGCACTTGATGAGAGGTGATATATCCTAACCATAAAACATAGAAACAAGATGGGTTTTCGCCCTGTTTTGCCACAGACTGAAACGGAAATATATAACTTTACGTCTTTTTATCTATGGACGATGGTTCATAAACCGAATGAATTTTTTATCTATAATTTAATATCCACATTTCCAAACTTCAACATGTTTAAAAAAAATATATTGGAGAACGTGGGGATGGTACCCACGACGGAACTACAGCCAGAATTTTGCTAGCGTGGCAAATAAAAGCGCTGTAGCTTGGCATTTTATTAACTCCATTCAAGAAAACAAAATTATCTACACACTGAAGACGAGGGGAGAAAATGTAGTACAATTTACTAGAAACGTAGGCGTCAGTCAACGACCCGACTTCATATCGAATCGCACTGCAGTGCCCTGTGCACAGTTTATTTTTTACAACGCGACAACTGTCATCACAATATAGTCTGTATTGCTCCAAATGTACCACAGATTATGCAGGCCGAACAGCCAGTGACAATAGGTCGATCGTTATGTGAAGAGTATATAGCCATTTGTATGTCGGATGTATTGATGTTTTCAACTTTGAGACCTTCGTTGTTTTTTCGAATAGATTGCAATATGAATTTGACCTTTATCTATTATAGTATATACCGGCAGATTTATTAATTTGTATCTGGCCTAAAAAAAATTACAATTTCGTTAAAATTAAAAAAAATTTACAATTTTTGTCGTTGAAATTTATTGTCTATGTTTAAAAAAGACAAAACACACTTCGTAGTTATTATTGGTGATATTCATCCTAGGCAATGAACACGTTACACTGTAGCTCACACGAGTGTAACGTGATGTTTATTAATTAGAAAAAGAGTTATGGCGCCTGCACTACTCGTTCGATTTTGATGTAATTTTGAACAGAGACTCGGAACCTTTTAAGTCACATTCTTAATTAATAAAAGATTTAATTTCGAGGCAAGCCAATATAGTCTATCAACTCTTATGTACTCGGTAGCTCAATTGCTAGCGCAACAGCACGGAACACTGACGATGCCGGTTCAAGTTGATAATTTTTTAAACTCTTATGTAATTATTTATTATTAAATAAAGGAACGTTAAAAAAACATTTACTTAAAACATAGTATATTAAATGACAATAATGGTAGCTAAGATTTTCCTTTCAATCCGAAAATGTTTCATCGCATAGTAACGGAATGCCGTCGTAGCACTTTGCTACATTTTCATATGGCGTAGCTAATATACAATTCATAAAAGTTGTTCACCCACTTCCCCGTTCGCTATATGAAAAAAGTATCACGTTTTGATCAGAAAATATTGAGTAATATTACAAAAACGATCCTTATTGAAGAGTCTAAGTAATTCTGTCATTCTACCATTCTATCCGAGAGCGTTCACTATTCATTTTCAACTGATTCAAATCTTTAAGAAATATCTTTACAGAGATACAACGGAGAATCATTGGTGGTTTCCGAGCCGGAAGTTGGGGTGGCGAGGGAAAAATTACAGTACGCTTGGCTATAAACAGCGATCATTCGCAGGCTTCTTTAATCAAATTAAACGCTGCTGAACATTAATTAATACACACTAATTACATTAATAAAATCTAAACTTACAATAGAAAGGAATACAGATAACAAAACCTATAAATATTGCAAATGGCGCCAAGACAAAACAAACAGATCTAGCAAAACTACAGATGAAGCGATAAAAAGTGGTAATTAAATTGATTTTTATTTGCACAGCGTATGAAACTAGTTATGATCTGTTTCCACAACGTAAATATTTGCGGAGCGGCCCGCGGGGCACATGTCAAAGGCTCCGGTATTGATCTAGCGGGGCAGGGCGGGGTGCGCGGGTGTCGGGCGTACTACGGACGCCGCCTTACGTAAGGGCGCGTCTGACGCCCCGTCTGCTACGGCCTGATTAATAAAACAACCACTATCAACTCGATATCATCGTTTATAAGCGGTCCTTACTTCTTCGACCTCAAGGTTAAGTAGTTAGGACAGCCGCCAGCTCCGGAAACTGTTGCCGTTCGATTTCTTGTTAGTCTTTAATTTCTGTATGAGCGAACAGCAAGCCTATCTTGTGTATAAAGATTTGATATAGTAGAATATAGTCCCGAATGTGGGCTCTTTAAAAACATTGAAAAAAATATAGACTAGACATTTCCAACAAATAATTGTATTGACCAGAACCAATTTATTGACCCACATTAATTTAATACCAAAAATATATACGACCTTCTAGGAACTTATGCATTATAATACATACCAAGTATTGTTTGTAATTTACGCGAGTTGTATTCATTAAAATACTTTTTTTAAATTCGAAACGTATTAGTTAACAGATTTACAATTTATTTTAACTACGGCCCGATGTTTTGAATGCTTTTTGCAACAGCCGTGGTTACAGGACACACGCAAAAGTTTCATTTAAAATCAGGATATTTTAGAAGTTTTTTAAACAACCGACTTAAAATTGAAATTAAATCTATGCTTTAAAATGGATATTTTCATTTGCCTATTATTATCATTTAAATTTGGAATTACATTCATTAAAACGTCCCTCACAGTACATTAGATTTTCGTGTAGCGCTTTCTGTACTTAATCTCATTAGCGACACGGTTCTGGTAACCCAGTTACAGTATATCATTTGTAAATAAGGGGGAGTGTTGCAAGTTCACAATTGCAGGTTGAGAGGCACAATATGGTCCTCGTAAAATCAGGTGAGGGATAAAACGGTCGGTCCTTTAGCGAGCGTAGCCCGGGTTAAACCTATTACAGTAACAAGATATTTAAACCAGATTCCGGCACACTTAATCCAAGTTTCTTTTGTTTTTCAACGGAACCGTGAGCTCGGTAAACTATTGAATTGTCGAAGCGTTTATTATTCGCTTCGAATGTATATTTTCTACAGAACTCAAGTGTTCATTATTTTATTTTATTTTCCAACAAACATTTTAAAATATAAAGTATAAAATACATCAAACATATTGTTGGAATTCGAATCTATACTAATATATAAAGCTGAAGAGTTCGTTTGTCTGAACGTGCTAATCTCGGAAGCAAGTGGTTCGAGTTGAAAAAATATTTTTTTTGTTGATTGGAGCATTTAGCGCGGAAAGCTATAGGCTACAAACATCGCACTGTGACTAATAGTATGTAATGTAGAAAACGCGGGGTAAATTCATCTTTGTGGGTTTCCGATGCGTATGCTGTGATAACAGTTCAAGCTACCCAAAAATATGTATTAAATAATAATTCCCTTTTAAATTATAAAAACAAAAATGTTCACGACAGTTTATGCCTATCTTGGCGACGGGACACGAACAAAGAAGAAATTTTGATGCCAAAAACGCGGACGAAGTCGCTGGCATAACTAGTTTAAATATATACATCATACAAAAAATGAAACATATTTTTCGAAATCGAATCTTATGATTAATATAATTCTTCTTAGAGATTCTTAAATCCGTTACAATAGGGATAATTATCTGCTTTTAAATAATATATGCTATACAAGAGTTTAGATATATATTGTAAAATATGAAAAAATAGTTTAGTAACAAATATCATTGGTCCGAGTTAGAAGCGTTCAAAAGTGTCCATGCCTAATATTTCCTGTAATATGTAAAGTTGAGCGAATCAATGTCTTTTATTGTTTTGAAATCAGGTCACGCGACTAGTCAACGCGCGACGCGACAAACGAAATTAAACTTAGTATTTAAGAATAGCTTTTAGAAAACTACTTTATTCTGAGCGTTATTATTTTTACATTAAAAGTATGAATGGAAAATAGAGAAAACTAGTCATACTAATAAATTAAATGCTCTAACCAACATAAAATATCTTTTTAATTCGAAGCCGTAGTTCCTGAAATTAGCGCGTTCAAACGAACAAACTCTTCAGCTTTATATATTAGTATAGATATGGGTGACTGCAAATGAAATAATGCTTTATATACCATTTAATTTTATTAAATAAAACTTGTCTACTTATATAATATATATGTAACTAAAGTCAATCTAGCTAACTTAATATAATACTAGACGTATATTTTTTTGTTATTATATGATGCATGGTGAAAATATTAAAAAAAATGGTGAAAAAGTCCCGTTTCTCGTGGGGCAAGGGGCGAACACGTTTCTATGTCCGTTTCACAGATCACTATTATTTAGAGGGGAGTAGTTGATTAAACTTTTATGCTGCGCCCGACTGAAACTATTGTTTCCAAGTGATTTCAACACAGGAGCTTTCGCGCAATGCTAGCTAAACTCACGGAGTACATTTGTCGTCAACAAATTGGACGTTTCTCAAAAAAGATTACGAACATGAAGATGTCCTTGCTGGAATGTAACACGAAGCGCATAGATCTACCCAGAATCTAATTAAGCACCTTGACAAATGATACGAACATCAGGAGGGCAATCCTTAACTAAGAGACATAATTTAGGACGACATAAGTCGCAAAATATGTCAGATTTGAATGAAAATAATGATGTGAGTCGATGGGAATTTTGTATCATTTTGTTCAGGAATGTTTTACTGTATTTGAGTTTATTAAGGGTGGTGTCAAATGATTCATATTATTTTGTAGGTAACATATGCTATTTACATCGCTATTAAATTATATCGTGCTGTTTATATAAACACTTTAATAGTTTAAAACTCGATGTATATATAGGTAAGCTTATTTGAATTTTTTTTTGCTTCAGCAGTGCCCCCCCCCCCCTCCCGACAGTATTGATATCGTGCTATATCAAAATAATATTTAGTGAGCTCATTAAACGTGTAATATATAAATTATTAAGGTTTACATTATTTTAAACTCTAATATTATTGTTACAGAGTTAAAAATTGGGCGTTGAAGTTCGGCGTCGACCTGTGGGAATTCGGGAGGCATTTTACAAAAATGAACCAAATACAAAATGTAAGTACCTTTAAACCTTTATATTTGCGTTCAGGTGCATTCTCGCTTTGAAAGTGGTACTAGAGTGGAGGAAGTTTGGGCTGATCGGTCGGACGCGTCGCTACAAAAATTCTGGCAAGCGCGAGTCGGAATCGCGACAAATGGGTTCCGTATCTATTAACATATCTGTTGTAAGGTGCTCTTCTTAAATCTATATAATACTAATATAACCGATCGCTGTCTGTCTGTACAGGGGTACAGACCGACAGCGGTATATGTAAAAAAATATAGGAGGAGGTCTTACTAATTATTTTTTATTATAATTACTTTGTTTTTAAGTTGTCAATAATAAACATTTTTGTTTGCTTTACTTTTTTGTTACTTGCCTCTAAATAAAACCGATCTGTGAAATAGAATACAATAATATGTTTGTCGAGGAGAAGCGGCGTTTCACATTTCTATACAAAGACTAGTGGCAGACGCACAGCGGAGTCTTAGTTACACGTGTTCCATTTTATCCTTCGAATACGGATCTCTAAAAACGCAGTCGCCCCGCCCCACGGGATGAGGCGCGGGGTCCCGCGACCTACTTACAAAATCAGGACCCCATCGGATCGGATGCTGGCTGGATAGCACTCACGACTCTCGAGAGCAATACTGTCTAGTGAGCACAGAGTAATACTGTCTGGAATTCCAGCAAGTTATTTTTATAGCGACTCATTTTTAAAACGTTTGAACAAGAAGAGAATATTTAAACGGTATTTAAATAATCAAGTTCGTAATGGCATTTATTTTGACTGTATTACTTTTAGCACATACAAATCGAATCCCACGGAAGCAAAAGTTTTGGTCGTGTAAGGTACAAGTGTCGGTTAAATTAATTGCGTGCAAAAAGAAATCGATTAATGACTTAGTATCGATCCACCCTACATTTCAAACAAAAGAATCTACAAAAACCGGTTGGTTTATATTATTTATTATTAAGTCAAATAATCTATACTCTATACTAATATATAAAGCTGAAGAGTTTGTTCGTTTGTATGTCAGGAACTACTGGTTGGAATTGAAAAAATATTTTTGTTTTGCATTTATTCAAGAAGGCTATAAAGGATTTTGCTGTGACTAACAGGAGCGAAGAAACAACGGAAAATGGGGAAAATTATTCCTTGTATTGAGTACGCTATGAAAACGGTTTAAAATACCCAAAAAATATGTATTCAAGAATGATTTCTCTTTAAACGATCAAAAAAAGTCCGCGACAGTTTACGTCTATCTTGTAAGATTGAAATTGAAAGAACGACGGGACGCGGACGACGTTGTGGATAATAGCTTACATTTTTGGGTTGATAAGGAGGTTTGCGAAAACAAAAGTACGAAGTCGTTGACTCAGCTAGTAATAAATACTGAACTGTATTAAGTCAAACCAAATTATATAATATTAATTTTAATTACTCTAGATATTTTATGAGTATTTAAATATTGAGGTTTAAAAAAACCTTCTTATTACCTACTTTTAATCATAATTATCCCTTAATTATAACAGCGTAGCAAACTTGTAGCACCGTAGCGACGATTTGTAGCATAGTGCTACGTATCTGTAGAAGTAACGTTAGAGAATTATATAAATAATATTTGCTTAAGAAAACATTATATTGATAGTCCAATAATATATGTTATAGGAAGAAGATGTTCCACGATAACATGTGTTTCTGAAACTATTGTATCCAAACTTTTTTAATATTATCCAACGCGATGGTTCAACAAACTAATTTTGTTATCAAGGAAGTAAAAATTTGTCTTTCATCATAAGCTCACTACAATATTAACCAAATTTTCAACAGTCGCTAAAGTATTTGGTCCCTGAAAAATGTTTGGGGCGAGTTAAAAAATAACAAAATCCAAAGAATATACTAGAACATATCTTTCAGTAATTATAATTACAACGGGCTCATTTGTCTAGTGGTAGAATGTATGGTCCATAATTAACAGGTCGTAGGTGCGATCCTCACCGAGTCAAAAATCTTTCTAAACTTATAATTTTCCTAACATGTTAGGCGTCGTCTAGAAATTTGAATATTAAATGAGTGGTAGGATAATCGAAATTCCGTCTTGCTCACAAACCATTATTCACAGATGAAAAAGACCTGTTTAATCGGGTTTCTGTCCCAGTCTGTGGACTTACGGATATCCAGACACGAAAATAGGTCGATAACACATCTTGTCGGGATGTTGTATATCTGGGGTATTTTACCCACGATTAAGTAAACCCTATGTTAGTCTATCGTGGTTATAATATTAAAAAAATGTTAATTATGTTTCGCATTGTATTACGCACTATAAGCCAAAATTATCTTTAACAGAAACATATAAATACGTTCTAAACTATAAAAAGCAAAACCTACGTTATTTCTACGGTATATAAGAGCTTTTTAATGTTCCTAGTTTATTTTCGAATAGTGAGTCACGCTTTGGTTTTCCCCATCGTTTTACTATCTGCCTCGCCCCACTTTCCACAAAGACACTGACCTAACTATACAGCCTTGATAATAGAATAGAAGAGAAGAATTAGGTTAAACTCTACGCCACGTCAAGGCCACATCCGATATGCGAACAATGGTATTCCAGAACGGCGTGGAAAGGGGAATGCCCACTCTCTCTTGTTTCCCGGGCTAAAGTTGGACATCATTAATTTACTACTATAATTTCCCACTATTTATATAAATTATTATTTATATAATTATATAATATTGATAAATTCGATATCCGTATAAGGCAGAATTATTACATAAAAAAAAATACTTTTTCGACTAATGATTAATTTTATTTTCCTAGCGTAGGGCATATATTTTTATATCTTTTGTCTTTTCAAATCGGATTTATTTACATAGATACTTACTGCATGTTCTAATGCATCTTCCAAAATAAGTTGTTTCACTCAATCAATAGTTCTCCTCTATAGTAAAATACCGTTTACCAACGATGTGTCCAGCCGCTAATTAAATTAGTCACGGAAGTTATAATAACGAAGCCTTTGAACTGAGCTTTTGTGAAGCCTTAGGAAATCGCTTAAAGACGACAGCGGACTTAAGATATAAAGAAGGCTGTCGCGGCCTAGTTTTGTCTTGCTTTTAAGGCGATAGCGTCTACTGCAAACTTCTACACAGATTGCCAAAGATTGTGGTTTGTGCTGAGTGCGTTCAATGACCTTTTCTTACTGCAACCTTTGAAACAAGTGCTTTTCTTGTCTTGAACTCTGTAACTAATTGGTGATCTTCAAAAGTACTTTGTGCGGATATAGCTGAACTTTCTACGAGTATATATCCGTATAGTACGGACTATAGTGACGTCAATGATACAAGATGTATATGTTACGCAACATATACATTTAATTTTATTCAATAAGAAAAGAATGCCAGTAAAAAATAGGGTTAGAGTCTTTGTGTACGAATAAAAGTTTGAATGGACACTTTTAACGGTTTAAAACGTGAATTATGTCTTAGTTAAAATTATTTACAAATTATTTTAACTTCGGATGCCGGAAACTGTTGAAGTGTTTTATTTAAATGCGTACCAATCGCCTAAACTACAGACAGCACTGGATACTTTCTTTTTAATTTAATTTATTTTTACACGAAAGTTGGCCGGTAATACATATTTCCTATAATCTGTACCAAGTTACAGATTAATAGTTATTTATCTACTAAACTTAAAACTACGTGGAGGGCAACTTAACGGAATTATTGAATTCGCTCGAATAGTTAGTGAAAGAACGTAGGAATGTGGATGGTGGATGTAGATAGCGCGGAGATAGTTTACAAAAGGATTGTGGCGCAGGTGCCTCTCAGACGCTCACTGTAGCATGATTAGAAACATTACTATCCGATACATTATTATTTAAGAATGTCTAGTATACAGTATAATAATTCACAGCTATTTATTACGTTACAAGGTTTGTATAAGCTGTGCAACTACATACAGAACTAAAATATACAGTTAGTTGCGACTCGGTAGCTTGGTTAGCACAACAGCACGGAACGCTGACGATGCCGGTTCAAGTCCTGCCCAGTCGTAAAATAATTCAATTTATTTTCGATTTTTAATCTTTACAGTGAGTTGCCATGTCATTTCTTAAGTTAGAACATCCAAAGCCAAAATAGGTTGACAGCGATCTTCTAAATACTGTCTATAGTTTACGCGAGTAGTACACATTTAAATAAAATACTTGCACGGTTTAAAACGGGATATATTAGTAAAACTTATTTGTAAGTAATTGTAACTGCGGCCCGACCACGTCTCCTCGTGGTCACGGCTGCTGCAAAGCATCCGAAACGTCGGGCTGAAGTTAAAAATCATTTTCAAATAAGTTTAACTAATATATCGTGTTTTAAACCGTTAAAGTGTTTTATTTAAAAGCGCATCTTCTGCGTGTATCTTCTGTTCTTCTGGCTGGGACATTTTACCTCCATCAAGTAAGCTCTATGTTTGTCTGCCTTCCTTTATCATTAATAAAAGTTAGATAATCTAGTATAAAAAGTTCGGATGTTGTTGTGGAAGTAAACATTTAATATTCATACATATACAAATATTAATTATATTCTTTTAACTGTGTTTCTAAATTAGTAAAAAAATGGTTGTAGTCCCTCTATATATATCATTTCATTCTCTTGTATAACAGCTCTTCAAACTACAGAATACCAACAGACTATTCATACATAAAACTGCTTTAAGAACATTGAAGTGTTATTGTGTAGGTCACGAGCTGTGGTCAGAGGTCTTTCTAAACTTGGCACCGTATTTATACCAGAATAAAGAGAAATAATGCTATAAATAGGCCGCTTTACCTGGCAAGCAGCTAAAAAAAATTACGAAGAAACATTTATACACTTATTAATTTTGCATTTGTTCACTAAACTGTGGAATGTTTCTACGATACATTGTGTATCTGTTGTTTCGTGAAGAAATAATTAATTTTTATGATAGAGGAAGATAGGCGTGGGGGTCACTTGATGGTAGGTGAAATGCGCCAGCCATATAACATGGACAGTGTCGATCTATTTTGGCTCACGATTTTCGAAAATCCACCGACTGTAACTGAAACGCGAATAAACTTCACGGTTCGTGATTTTGATGGAATGTCGATACCACCCACTAACGAACCCGACTAACTAAAATGAAACTTAATTCTTTGTATTACTGTGACGGTTATTATTTTATTTATTATTTTCTCTCGGGGACACCTGTGGTAGGACGGGTGATCAGTTCACACTATCAGCTGACCATTTCACCCATTTCCCCATTTCCACCTTGTGGAGGTTTTGGGTCATCCAACCCCTCTCCGTGTCCCCTTCAAACCTTCCTTTGCTTGCAGAATCTTATAATTTTTTCCATCTTAATTCTTTTGATCTCATCTTCTGTAATTTCGTCCGAACCCATATGTATACTTGACGGTACATAATATGATAAATATTGTTTGGTCTTTCTATAGGATAGGGACAACCCCATAGTTTTACAAAAAAAAATATGTCTATGTTTGTATGTTGGCTTTTGGACATTATAGATGTAATAATTACAAATAGACGTATCTATTTGTAATCATTATATCTAGCCAAAGTACCTGTGATACATCAATAGTTCCCAAACCTCAAACTGAATTCGCACAACCAAGTTAAGTAACCGCAATCCTAATGTAATTAAATGGACATAACTTCGATTATAGATCAATCTAATACGCGCGTTTATCTCAAGATGATTATCATTGTTGATCAAAAATTTATATATAATAGTATTTAATCTAAGATAAAAGTAAAATACTACTACTAGTTGTCGTCATAAGTTTAACTAATATATCGCGTTTTAAACCGTTAAAGTGTTTTATTTAAATGTGACTGATTTTCATTGAATTTATGTGTATTTATCAAAAAACCTATATTTTTGGAGAAAAAATTTAAAACTTATTCACGTAGCTATTGTAATAGTTTTATTAAAAATTAGCTAATAAATATCTGAAGTAGTAAATATCGTCTATATTATATTATAAATATAGGTTCTGATTTTTGTTTGGACATTCCAAGAGTCTCCTTTCGTACTTAGGAAATATATCGCGTTGCACTACTTACATAATATAATACATACACTTACATAATATGTAACATATATATAAGAAGACTTCTGCTTTACGTTTCATTTGTTAAAACAACGCACGATAGTGCTTTTGTTAGCCGGGCGGGAATCATAACTTTTACTCTTTCTGACATTTTTATATTTTTGACAATTGACCCCTTAACATCACAGATATATGTTAAATATAGTTAAAAGCTACAGATCAAATTATATAGAATTTATCGTCAAAACACATGAATATTGTCGTTTAAAAACAAAGGACAACGATAAGTAAATATTTTGGACTAACAATTGGCTAACGTTACCAAATATGATTTGAGGTTTTTACTATTCGCTAATGTATATGAATAGTAAAAACGTTAGAGGGTAAGCTACATAGAATTGGTGTATTTAAAGCAGATCGTATATAGCGCTTTCTGACGGCAGAAATGTTAGCTTGAAAGGAAGCCGTAGAATATACTAAAAGCTCGCGTCCCAGGTGTTCAGAGCTAAAGTGAGAAGCCTTGTAAATATAGTGGACAATTACCTCCTAAATCGTGACAGGGCATTTTCACCTTTTATTATTTACCGCACCGTTTCACTTACGCCCAATCGGTTTAGCTCGAGTGTACTGACACGAAGCGAAACGATCGCGAAGAGAAAATTCGAAATACATATGATCATTTTTCGTAGCGTTTTTTCAGAAGTTACTTTTAAAGGAGAAATGGGTGGTATGGTCAACAGCCGATGTGGACTGAACACCTGGCCTTCTATCGGTGTCCCCGGAAGAAAATAATAATATTGGACGACATAATTTCAGTTGAATACAGTCTCCTCTCTCATCTTTAAGAATTAGATCCACCATGCTGCTTCAGTGTTGATGGGTGGACCATTTTTTTACAAACCTACTTCTCTGGTTAGTTTGATATTATACCGTATAGATATCAAACTAACCAGAGAAGTAGGTTATAAAATACAATATAACATAATGTTAATGAGAAATCGATTATAAATTGAAAAAAAAAAAATTACTCGGTAGCAATTTGTATGTATAATTAATTTTTAATTTATATAGTGCCATCATGAGCAAAAGAAAGGAAAAATATTAAAATTATAAAAAATATTGCCATAGTATTAAGAATCTAAATAATTTTCTTTGATTTGCAAATTGAACAGTTATAATTTTGTTTTCATTTTGCATAACACATCTTAAGTGAAGTGACCACAGATAAAAAAGCTCACACACACAAAAACTTTAAGATGTGTATAAGACGAAAGGAAATTAAAGAGTCTCACACTTTTAAACACGAGTGGAAACGAATAATAATCATTAAATTGGGAGCTCTTGAGAACAGAATTCAATCAGCGGGCCGTAAGGATGGTGTTGACGTACAAAGCGGATTAAATTAACAGCCTTAATTGAATTTAGGTTCCTTGTTAGGCAATGTGTCCCTTGGGTCCAGGCGGTGGTGAACTCGCCGTTTTAATATTCCATGAAATCAACTACTACACTCGAAAGCAAGCTTTGAGGAAAAGCTTAATTGAATATACGAGCTCTTTTAAATCATTTCACTTTTGCTTAGCTATAATGAAAGTTGGGCTTGACATTAGTAATTCGAAGCTTTAATTATAATGCTAATAATTTTCCGTCGCGTTAAACTTATTACTAAATAGCTTTTTAATAATTATTACTATTTAAATAAAGCACTTTTACGGTTTCAAAAGCGATATATATTAGTTACACTTCATTTGATATTTTAATATGATCTTTTAAAAACTCTGGATTAAACAGCTTTCCCAACGCCCTTTTTTTTTTTTTTTTTCCTTTCTTCTTTTTTTCCCCCCACTACGGCTGAGCTGGAACGTTAGTCTATTCTCTTCTCTTTTTCTTTTCGGGCTGAATTTAAATCTCGTTTTGGGTTACTAATATATGGTGTTTTAAAACGTTCTTTTATTTAAATGTGTAGGTTCACGCGAGTACTACACATTTATATATATAGACAGTATTCAGTTAAAGTGTTTTATTTAAATGTGTTCTACTTCGTAAATACAAACTTTGTGTTACTTAACGGTACAAATTTACCCTCCATAAAAAGTAACCACCATAGGTGCTAAATTGTTAAATTGTTGCCTACAATGGTTAGCCGCGATAGATCCTGGATTCACATCTCTGGGAACAATAGATTATTTCGGTCGGGCACGGCACAGTAATCTGATAAACTATTTGCCTATGAAACTGATACAGAAATTAGCTCGCCCCATGCCCCACGAGGACTAAAAATTACCGTAGGCAATGTTATTTTTTAATTAAAGTGTTTTTAATATATTTCTATAAGGTCAAATGTTTTACGGTTCAAAGGGCAATAATAGTACAAGTATAATACAACGTAATATATTATATTCTATTTCATTAGACATGATAGCACAACAAAGGCGCCATCGGGTACAATTCAAAATTCAATAACACCGCGCCCGGAGCGCGCCTTCACCGAATAACAATAATTTGGCAGCGAGCATCCGCCAAATTCCGGACGTGTTCGTTCCGTTTTTAAATTTGACAGGTCTTTACCGCCATTAATAGTGGTCGCATTTTTTGACAGATTTAAAAGTTGCCCTGCGTAAAAACTTAATTGATTTGAATTATAGTTATAATAATATATAAAATAAGATCTATTTTACAGACGTTTTCTAATTTATGGCCGGCTTTTAGGATCGATACAATGAAAAAAAAAATGTAATTTTTTTTTTACTTTTAGACTTAGTTTAAAAGGTCTTATTGTCAGGCCATATAATATTATAAAAAAATATTTTTTTGTTATATTCTCTGCAGTCAAATAAGTAACAAAGCTACTTTTTGGTTCCAGAAATACCGCGAATACAACGTAGAAGTGGTACGGAAGGATGGATTGCTTCTAGTTCGCGATCTAGCGGCTGAAGTCAAAAACCACATGGACTTCAAAATCAATGCGGTTATGGTGAGTCATTACAAAGTGTAATCAAAGATAGATAATTTTTAGTTCTGTCTTTTAGTTTCCTTAACCCCAAAATTTGGGTTTATTATTATTGCAAATAACTAGTTCCATTGGTAAAGCCGAATCCTTGTTTCTAAGTAAAAAAATCTATATTAAACAACACTTTAATATTGTGACAATATCAAAATGTTGTTTTAATAAATAAAGAAATAAACTTTTAAATTGACAAATGACAAGAAAATTCAGGCTTTCATAGTATGGTAAGTGTTTGATTTAAACCTATAAAACACTTTGAAACAGGTAAAAACTTAAATTATATAAGTTACCGACATTAGTTATATATAATATAGGTTAATTACACTCCTTGTAAATATAAATATCTCTCTCCTTTGTAACTCTTGCATAATTAGAACAATTCCCACGGTACAGAGCATGAAATATTCGCGAAAACATTTTATTATTGAAGCAAAACGCATTCCTCGTGTTGCGCGCTTCGCTTGAAAAAATACGAACCGCAGGAGCCTTTGTTTTGCGAAAGAAACGAATCGTTTCCCTCAAAAGAAAACTAAACTCTCACGGAGTTGTCCGCGCCAACGCGATGGTGCTTTTAGTACACTATCTCAACTTAGAGTTGAAATAGAAATGTACAATAGTATAATCCGATCTGAAGATTTGTCGAAGCGCAGCCTTTGATAGCGCGGAACATCAGCGAGTCTTGAGTGCTGTTCGCGTTTCGATTTTATTGCTTCATTTCGCTGTAGTTCTTAATATTTACTTACGCCACGGGACGCGGGCTCACTGGCATACGGTGAATTTTGCCTGTAAGACTATTTACATACTTTTTTTCTATTAAAGCTTTATAAAACGTTTATTCTAATTATAAAGACTTATATTATTTTACATCTACGCTTTCGTAGCAATCTGTTGTCGTAGGCGGTCTACGAGTACAAACCTACAACTTTTAGCATATGACCATTAGCTTTCGTACTCGGATTTGGATATAATTTAATTTTATCTTTATTATTGTTACATTTATTCTTTGTTTAGTCTTCTTTAATTTATTATTAGTAGGTTATAAGCTACTAAAGTGGGGCAAATGGTGTCCCTAGTATCCCACGCAAAGGCTTGTTTAGGCGAGTAAAAGTATAAATTAAAATAATCATTTTCATATTCCTCCTTCATCCTCTTTGCATACTTAACTGTGCACTCCAAATTACAAACCGAAATATTGTTTGCTTTCCGCGGGTAACTCTTAAAGCCCCGAGCGGCGTGTATCTCAAAAACTTACAAGGATCGTGGTCAAGTTAACAAAAGAATAGGGTCAAAAGAGCGAAGTGTTAGGAAATTCCCGGAGGAGACAATTTTCGACATTAACATATTCAGCGATGGCCGATAGTCGCGACCCTGTCTTTCGACCCTGTTATTGGAATTCTTCTGAATCTCGAACTAATCCCACGGCTGTTACCCGCCCAACTTTCAAACTTGATGAAAACTTCGAAAGAGGTTTGTACGTTTTCGCTGCATTTTCCTCCCGCAGGTTCTTTAAACTTTATTTACGTTTAAGATTCTTCGATTATTAAAGTAGAGAATTTCTTCAAAGGACAAAACATTAAATGACTTTATCCTAATCAGTCATTTCCATTCCGCCTACTACGAATAAGTGAATCCTTTCACTACTACTCCACTTGTATAAATGCTGTATACAAAATACTATGAGCCTATTATTAATAACGATTTACCCCTCTAGTACACAACACAAACAATAAAAAAAAAAAATAAAACCATAAAGTGTAACGGGCGGCTTAATCGCTTTGGAGCAATCTCTTCCAGCCGATCGTATATTGTATCCGTTCACGATATAAAAAAGGGGTAGAAAAGTGTATAATGCATGTATGGCATATCTGTAGCTAAACAATAGATTGTTTCGGACGGGCAGGACAAAGAATTGTTATCAACTATTTGCCTGTTACAAACAGTGAGACGGACACAGAAATTTTAGTTTTATAGTTTTACTTACTAGTGTAGGTTACGTGACGTAATTTCATTCATCATCGTCATTATTTCGGTAGTATAATATCCACGCAGTAAGCACGAATCCCTTAAATTAAACGGCTGATAAAATGATTTATGAATTTCACTCATACTGAATAAATAAACTTACCACTTAAAAACATCATACAGGCTTGTGGTTTCAGCGATCTGTGCAAAGAGGGTGAGCGTTAAGTACTCTCAAAAGTTTGTTAAGAATCTACTTAAATATTGTGATAAAATATTTTACGTTCGTTTATGGAGTCGGGAACAAAGTTTTGTGACAGAGCAACATTGTTTTTGAAGACTATCAATTTTTATATGGGCAAATGATTGGAGATCGAGTGATATCGTTTTATTGACACTTAACTTACGGTCTAGTAGAATTTTAGTTTACGCGGGTAGTAAGTATGTACGTTATATCTTTATTGTCTAACGTTAGAATTTTTAGTGGCGCAAGTAAATTACAATAAAAACTTCTTAAGAGTTACACCGGAGTCTATTTCTGTTTAAATTAAAAGATTCTATTGAACCCACGACAGTAGTAATATTATTTATAATATATATTTAAATTAAACGAAATGTATCTATGTGTACATCAATAGAATTGTTAATAAAATACAAAGTGAATGGGAAAACTAATAAAATTTAAATTTAGTTGAGTAGAATATTTAAATAAAACACTAACGGTTTAAAAAGCGATATATTTTAGTTTATTTTTTTGAGAATTATTTTTAACTACGGCCCGACCTTTCGGATGCTTTGCAGCAGTCGTGGTCACGAGGAGACGTGAAATAAGTATATCGCATTTAAACCGTTAAAGTGTTTTATTTAAATGTGTACTACTCGCGTAAATTATAGACAGAGTATTTGAGTAGAATAATAAAGAGAATTGAAACTTCAGTTTACAAGTACTTGTACAACTTTATAATGCATAAATATCTAAATTGAAAGAATTATAATAAGTAATGAAGCCAAGCTGGTTAGTTACAAAAAAAACAATTAGATGCCTTAATGTTGAGAACTAATTAAAGTGACGGCGTGAAGCCCACTACACAGATTAATATTTACACAAACACTAAAGCCATGTGGACATTATACAATATTGACTTAGTTATAATAAGCCATAGGCAAGCCACAATTGTAGCGTAGATTCATGTTTTTGCTCGATTCCCTTTTCAGTAAAAGTATTTTTTGTCGATTGTAAGCCGTCCCGAAGTAATGAAGGCCTACAGGATTCAATTAACCGGAGAGATTGGAATGCCCTTGCTCCACAATTCCATCAGCGTACTTCAATTTGACTTTATTTTCTCTACATATAATTATTTTGTTTTTTACCAACGTATAAGTTCCATTAACTAATTCCTTTTGTTGAGAGGCGTTTAATGGCCAAATGTGAGTTGGCACACACGAGTCTAAATATTTTAAGTTGCCATATAATTGCCTGGCTATAGTTGCCAAAGTTGCAATGTTTGTAACTGTGACTATTCAATTCGAAACAGTTTAACGTAGATTATATACAATATAAAGTATATTTGTTGTCTATGATACAGATAAATATCCTTTCAGTGTGCAGTGTTAATATGATTTTTTTGTTGGTTTTGTGCTTTATCTATGGTTTCAATGTTGACAGTAATCTTGAAATAAAAAGAAATTACTTTGAAATCCTGTTAAACCACAGGTTATGCACCGCCCACAGATAGCAAGCTCTGAATGAGCGATACTATAATTAGCTCAAGGGAAGCGAATAGTTGAAAATTGTTCCAGCAAAGTATGTAGAAGCGTACAAGCATACTTCTTGTAGTTCATAGGAAGATCGACGTATGACTTAGTTCAAGAATGTGTCTAAGCTAATTAAGATAAAGCTTGGGTTTCAAAGAACTTGTACCTAATTTAGTGAATTTTATTATTACTTTATATTAAAAAATTATTGAATTAGGCTTATTAGTAAAAATACTATTATGGACAGTAGAATTAAATTTAAAAAAATGTTCAATGTTTAAGTTTTTTGTTCAGCGCATTGTCTAGTATTGCATTAGGTGTGAGAGATCCCGGTTTCAAATCTTAGAATAGATTGTTTGTGTAAAACGCTGATGAAAAAATAATCTACACAAAAATAAAACCGGATCCTTCATTAATTATATGAAATTTTATGGATGTAGATTTGTAGGTATGTAATTGAAATATAAATTCATTGTAGATTGAAAAGGAACTGAACTGGCATCCACCACAGCACACGGTTCAAGTTTTCCTTCCGTTGTAGAATAAACAAAAAAATTAAAATGTCTTAAATAAATGAATATAATAAGTTTGTATAGATATGTTCAAAATTAATATCTCGTTAATTATAATAAACGTTTTTAAACTATGATACAAGCAAAGAGAAAACGTTCAAAGGCTTTCGCGTACGCGTTTAAGCGTGCTTAGAATTCCCGTCTAAGTGATGAAACAGGAACAACATTTTCCTGTTTCCACCTCACGTAGAAGCGTATAATATTAAGGCTTTAAGTATTTACTAACAATAATATTAATTTGATATTTCCCGATATAGTTTTTTTTATAAATTAAGAACATAGATTACCACCAAATATAACAAAATTTATTTTTCAATTATGTATATCATTTTTTGTACCTTTTTTTCTTGAGGATGATTAACAAAAACGTAAAATAGGTAAAAAGAATTACTTATAAAGCAACAGTACATCAAGACAAGGCCAAATTCGTCTGTTATAAAAAAAGTTACATCTTGAATTAGTTATTCGTAAACTACTACCTCGTTCAACACAATGATGTTTTTAAATAAAACACTTTAAACCGTTTGAAACCGTGAAATATATAGCACGCACAACACAGTAACAAGTAAACAGCAAGTAAACGGCCGGGGAACCTGTGAACATGGCTTCCGAAAATCGTAATTACTATAGTTAATATAAAAATATATTTCGTGTTTTAAACCGTTAAAAGTGTTTTATTTA